AGTTATCATATTTATGCTCTAATTCAAGCTTAAAGGTGAATTAGAACTTTTAAAAACGAGGTTCCTTAAAATAAAGGGAAATATTTGAGGCGTTTCATTGTTTTGTGCAAAACGAATGACTGCTTCAGTCTCTGAATTTATCAGCCAAGTGAGTCAGCAGAAATGTCCTAAAAATCGGAGGTGGGAGCACAGCGGAGTGCTCAGATGACTATCGCCACGGTGTTCAGTCTGGGCTTGACCAAAACAACCACTCTGTGAATTGGCTGTAAGGCAGATAGCTTAGCTGGCGGTGCTGAAAGCCAATGAAAATATCAGCACTGAAGTCTTCTCAGTTTATTTGTTTGATTTAAAGTTGCTGAGGATGTTAAAACCACTTGGAAAACAGGATGCTGGCTGTGCTCCCTCTGTCACAGGGATTGAGGAATTTGTGGCTCTCCGGAAGGTGTTGGGACTTCAGCTTCCGTCAGCCTGAGCCAGCATGGCCAACAGTCAGATATGATGGGATCCATCAATATTTGGATGGATCATGTTTCCCATCTTAGTCCTATCAGCCCTCAGTGATCAGGTGCCTATTGTACTTTCCATGAACTCTCCAGTTCGATTTCAGTTCGATTTATGCGACATGGAAGCAAGAGGTTTATGAATATCAGCAGGCAATATTTGAAGATTTTTGGTTTCTCTGGCTGCCTTTGGTATTATATGTCTTCTTTGTTGCAGGCTGCTTGGTGGATAAGAAAGGGAAGATTCTCATTCCTGGCATAAATGACGCAGTGGCTCCCCTCACTGATGAAGAGTGTAAACTTTATGACCAAATTGACTTTGATATGGAGGAATATGCAAAAGATGTAGGAGCCACACGACTACTGCATGCAACAAAGGTGTGATGGGTCTCTTCATCTTTGGGATCCAGTTCCTCTAGCAATGAAGAATCAGTGTTGTTACATATTTTCCCCCATTAACACTTCCCTGCCCCAGCAATATAAGATTTTAGGGATGGCCTGAAGACAACCATCCATGCTATAGTGACCTCCTAACTGGACTACTGCAACCTTTTCTGTTATGCCTCCTCCCCATCTGTGCAACTCACTCCCTAATGGGAGGAATTTGTCCCCTTCATTGAAGGTCTTTAAAATTGTGGTAGGGAAACTTTTTGGCCTGGTGGGCCAGATCACCATCTGTGCCCACTCACTCAGGCCAACTCTACAATTCTATAATTCTATGCATGCCATTTAGTGGACAGTAGTTGCCATGTTGGTCCTAAAAAATAGAAGGTACATAATGACTATCATTTTTGATTAGCATAGAAAGGTGGAAGAGTGTGTAGGCTTCCAAACACAATGGTTTACACATTCTTCTTCTATTCAGATTGGCCCAGTAAGTTGATAGTTTTTTTTGACTTAATTCTGGCTCTAGACTGAATACTCACAACTGCTTCCAGAATCCTATCATATCTCTTCTTCAATTCCCCTTCTAGAAAGATATATTGATGCACAGGTGGCGATACCCATCCTTGTCCCTGCATGGAATAGAAGGAGCTTTCTCTGGATCAGGAGCTAAAACTGTGATTCCGCGGAAAGTGATTGGCAAATTTTCAATCAGACTGGTGCCAGACATGACTCCAGAAGTTGTGACTGAGCAGGTTTGTTTGCTTGTTTGTTTGTGTGTGTGTTAATCCAGGTCTAAGGCCAGCCTGAGATGAATCTCACCAAGGGTGGTACTCAGCCAGGTTTAACTCAAGAGTAGACCCATTGAAATTAACGCACATAGTCAGTTAGGCCCATAAATTTCTGTAGGACTACTCTTGAGTAAAATTAGTCGTCTTAAATAGAAGGCGATGGGATGGAAAGCAGAAAGAACAGGATGAAATTCAAAGACTATTTAGCTAAATATGTTAAGATAACTTAATTGGAAAAATTTGCAAATATCAGATAGGCTTAGGATTTAAATATGTATTGTTAGAGAATAACATGTTTAAAGTTAAAATGAAAAGAAAGAAAGATGTTAAGTGATTAAGTTAATTTTATGAGAAAATTGGTTTAGGAAAACTGTTACAATGATATACACTGAAATTCAGCCAGGGGGATTTGAGGAAGTCACTTAACAATGTTACTATGATTGGATTAAGTACAATTAAGATGTACGTATGTTTGTTTGTTTGAAAATTTTGGAAAACCAATAAAAAAAAATTGGAAAAAAAGGAAAGCAGAAAGAACAGGTTGCATCCATTGAAGTTCTACTTTGAGTTGACCCCTTGAAATGAATGGATGACAGCTAGTCGTGCCCACTTATTTCAAGGGGTCTTCTCTGAATATAATGAACATTTGATGCATCTCTGCTGTGGGGAGGGGGAGGGAAGCAGAAACATGTACCTCTGTATAGGACAAAAAGTAAACATGAGTCCCCTGAGTTTAGTGTCCCTCCTCGCTTTATACTCAATCTTATATTTGTCCATCTTCTCCAGGACTGTCTGTTCTGACTGGCAGTAATGGACCTTAGATGGACACAGTGTATTGTCTTCATGCTAGAAAGGCCCTCATTTTCACAGAGCTCCAGTATTTATAAGCTGCAGCTCTCAAACATCTTGGTAGTAATGGTGTTGAAATTAATTGTGCTGTTTATTCCTTGATATGGAAAATACTAATTATGCACATTAGACAAACAGTTATTAATTGGAGCACTATTCTAGCAGCAAGAGCAGCTGTTAAATTTATAATTGGACAGATGCAGAGGTCCTTTTCTGTGACAGGGAAAGGCACTCCCTCATGGGTTAAGTGGTTTTTGTAGGTTTGGAGTTTTTTAAAATAAAAAATCTTCCTTCACATCCATCAACCCCATCCGTAAATTTATTCAGGTGAATCACTTGTTTTCTGTGTAGCTAGGCATTTTGTGGATTTTATGCTAGGATAGTGTGAGACAGATGCATAATTGGGATATAGAATATTTGTGCCTACGCAATTCCTGTTTTGTCCCTACTCTGAAAGTGGGCAAACTGCATAAAGGTGATGCTTAGCATTTCAGATGTAGTTTCAAAACTTGCTTTCCTGACTGCGGGTGAATTCATGCATAAAGAACTGAGCACCAATGCAATTGCTCCACTCGTCTTAGAAGTCTTAAGGTTTATTCTTTTTTATTAAAGGTCAAAGATTACTTGTCCAAAAAGTTCGCTGATCTGCACAGCCCCAACAAATTCAAAGTGTACTTGGGCCATGGTGGAAAGCCTTGGGTTTCAGATTTCAACCATCCCCACTACATGGCTGGAAGAAGAGCTATGAAAACAGGTGAGATATTGAAATCTTAATCAAAATGGCCTAATCAGAAAGAGACCTATCCCATTGGAATGTAGCAGAGAGATTAAAATGGGTTTCTTGTGTTATGAAAAGCAACTTTTTATCAGTTTTGTAATGCCTTGCTTAGCTGTAATGCTGTTGTGATTAATTATTGCTTTGTCCCAGGGGCAAGCATTATTCTCTTGGTGCTTGTACACATTCATAGAAAGGTACTTGAGGGATATTAATCAGAAGAGAGAGAATTTGACTGACGGGTGATTTGTTAAGCTGGGATCCCATAATTCATGCTAGCTTGCAAGTGATGCAACCTGCAGTCCGACAACATCTGGATGGCATTTTGTTGACTACCTGTTTGTTAAGTTTTCACTTAAAGATGAAAAATTGTCAGTGTTGTGCACTGTATTTTCACTTCTCTCCCCTGCTAGTCTTTGGCGTAGAGCCAGATTTGACCAGAGAAGGAGGAAGCATTCCTGTCACCCTGACCTTCCAAGAAGCAACAGGCAAGAATGTAATGCTGCTTCCTGTTGGCTCTGCAGACGATGGAGCCCATTCTCAGAATGAGAAACTCAACAGGTAAGGCATATTGTGCATAAGAGAGGCAGCTACTTATGTTTCTAGAGGTGCACCTGTCTAGACCTAAGAGAGGTAACTCAGGACAGTAAGTACCTGTGATTCTCTAGGCTGACACAAATACATACTGTATTTCTGTGCCCTGCATTTTTTGCCATGGTGTTGATGAATTTTCATTGCATCCATTAATCCTAGATTTCTTCTTCCTAGGTACAACTATATTCAAGGTGTCAAACTCTTGGGTGCATACCTTCATGAAGTTTCCCAGTTGAAGGACTGAATCTATATTTCCTTCAAGCAAAGTTGCTTTGGGACCTGAAAGTTACTTCCTTGCAACTTTTTAAAAAGTGCACTATTTTCGTCTCCTCTTCTCTTGCCAGACTAATTCATACTGAGATGCCTGGTGAAATATTTTTGACTCTGTATTGAGCACTTTATAGCGGCAGATCAACAAACGACAAAAATAGTGTGCTCAGTTTTAAGTACAACCGCAGGACTATAAGGCCCTAATATACTTATGTACTGTTTCAAACGGAAGATAAAGGGTGGGGGAGGAAGGAAGTCTATTATTTTTCCGTAATCTGATGTGTCAAAGTAGCAGCAAATGACCAGTAATGCTTCACCCAACCTCTCTCACTTCTACATCCTCCTATAATCACCATTTTCTCTTTAAAATTATCACATTAAATTTTACCAAACCAGAATTTGAGGGCAGCTCCCAGATTTTTTTACAAGGCAAAACCCCTTGTGTTTTCTGTTTGGAAAAAGAAATAAAGTCATCATGAAAAGTTTTCAAATGATCTGGCGGGGGGCGGGTACTTCAGTGGGTGGCAAATGAACAAATCCCCTCCTCACTGTGATACTCCTGCCTGTGAGGCTGTGTCTCGTCAGACACCTGTGCCTGTTAGGAATCTCTGCAGTCCTTGAAGACATCATATATTCTGAGCTATTAATAACAACAAACTGGTAGTTTTTCTAAAGCATTATTTGTACTCCATGTGGAAAGCTGCTAAATAAAAAAATAGCTCTGGCGCTACTAATTGTTAAAAGGGAGAAAGCTTTAGGTGATCAGTGCATCAGAAAGGCAAGACTGCACATCTTCATGGGTGTGTTTGGAACAGGCCATGCACTCCTTCCTTTTTCAACATGGATCTGAGGCAGAGATTCAAAGCTTTTTCGTCTTGATGAACTGCAGTTTAGCGTTATGCCAAAACAATAAACTGTGGTTAACTTTAACAGTAATCTGTGGGAACATGCTAGCTTCACAGCCCGTGGTTTAAAGCTGGCTTGTTTCAGCTGTTTGAAGGTATTGTGGGATACAGCCCACTGGTGTAGTAGGTAAGGAAGCAAAAATAAGTACGTTCTTATGTAAAAAGATCCTTTTGTCAAAATGTTAAGTGAATATTTGTCTCTTGAAGACTGTGGAAGGTAAGAGATCAAAGGTACAAAGTTTGGCTAATTTTATTACTCTGCTTCCTAAATGCAACAAAACTAAAGAATCCCTTTAAATATTATACTAGTTCTAAAGTCACTAATCCCCCACTTCCAAGCAAATTCTTCTGCACCCTCCAAGACCCTACCTATTGTTGGCAGCAGTGGCAAAAGAAAGGAAGAAGATGTGGATATAGCCCTGACCTGGGCAGAGCTCAGGGGATGCGAATGGACCTTTCCTTGCACAGATTAGCTGACAGGTGTGTGTGTTTGTGTTTGTGTGATGACTGCACACATTTTTTGGCTACACATGCAGGTGGCATGCATTCCCTGCAGCCTTAAGGCCCCAAAGTTGACCCAAACATGTGGGTTGATCATATGCATTGATACTGTTGGATCTGGGCTATTGATGCATATGCCCAAGTCATCTGAACATCGAACAACTTCAATAACTGTTTAGTGGTTTCCGCCCGCTTAACTACTGAACAAGACACTTAAGTATTTTAACTATTATACGTATACGAGCACATGCTGGGGGCATGCCAGGTATATGTTGGATGAATATTTGACTCTGAGAGTGTTTATATGTTACTATGGCTGAGAGCATATAAGGGCCCTTTAGTATAAGAGTAGATGTGCAAAAAAATGAGCCTTGCTTATTTGTTACTTGTCATCCCAGCTCTTCAGTCATAGGTCTCCCAGCGTGGCTTACAGCTTATTAACAAAAATCAGAAATAATTGAACAGCAGCTACATAATTTCACAGTAAGACACAGAATTTCATCAATCAACGGAGATAAAAACCATGAAATAGCCTGAGTGACTTAACAAGGGCTTCACTTTGTGCTAGAAAGGCATCAAGGTCTGTCTCATGCAAGTGTTCCTAGGGGGGAGAGCATTCCACTTTTGTGGTACCACAAAATGGAAGGCATGTTCCTTGGCCGTTACCCACCTCACTGCGGGTAGGGAAGGGGGTCCCCCCAAAGCCCTCCACTGAACATCTTGGGCCAACTCATGTGGAGAAGACAGCCCTCCAGGCACGAGATTTCTAAGATGTATAGGGATTTAAAGATGAGAAGCAATATCTTGAATTGTATACTGGTAGGAGCTGCAGTTGTTTCAAGACAAGCAAGAGGTATTCCGTTCAAGCAGTCCTAAGGCTGAATTCGTAATCATACCATATTTTGGGCAGCCTTTGAGAGCTGACCTGTGCACAAGCAGTCAAGAATGTTACCGGAGCATAGCCATAATTGAATTGGCTCTACATTGGCACGGTTGCATTTCAGCTGGTGCTGTAACCCAAGTTAGTGTAACGTGCCTCAAGCCGCTGAATTGACTTTGGTTGCCAAAGGCGCTGTTGAAGTGAATCTGAATCCAGATGTTGCTGGACTACAAATCCCATCATCCTTGACCTCTGGCCATGTTCGCTGGCTTTGATGGAAGCTGGAGTATAATGACATAGGGGAAGCCACAAGCTCCCCACCTCTGAAGGGTAAAATGCTTCATATTCAGGAACTGCATGTGCAAAGTGCAGTAGCAGTGTGTGAGTGGGCAGAGTGGCATGGATAAGTCAATGGGGAGTCTCTGGACCCCTACATCTTGGACCCCAACCCCTCATCCTTGGTGCCTATTCACACAATCCCCAGGGCTTTTTCCCCATCTCAGGTGGACACCGTTGTCATAAGAAAATAACGGAGGCGCTTACAGTGTGTTCCAGCACCTCTTTTTCTAGAAAAGTAGCGCTGACAATCCCTACTTTGGCAAATGGCAGTGTTGCCATCAGAGGGCACTCCTACCCCTGTTGTACCTTGCCGGCTGCTACTGGCAAGGTACAATGTCCATGTGGCTTCAATTATGGCTTCTAAATACATGGCACACATTGGGTCACCAAGCTTCTGCGGGTCTTATCTACTCTAAAGTAAATCTCGTTCAGTTCAATATGACTTACTCCAAAGTAAGCGTGTTTGCAATTGCGGCCTAACCAAGGCTGTCCTTTTATGGGGGATGTATGAGTGGAAATGTTTGCTGGCTATCAAGAAAAAATGCTGGATCTGCTCCACAGTTACTTTCAATCTGTGACCTGAATGCATTCGATTAAAATGTAATGAATTTGTGATTTAATGCTTATGGTTTTTTATTTTTATTTTTTTAAAAAGTGGTGGTGGTTTTTCAGCAGAGGCCAGGGATTCTTTAGTTGTGATTCCTGCATTGCAGGGGGTTGGCCCAGATGATTCTTGGGATCGTGTCCACCTCCATAGTTCTGTGACAGGAATGGTTTTTTAACCTGACTAAAACACTTGCTCATTAATAAAATTATGCTGGGAATCTAAACCATTTGTCAACCAACATATAAAATGTATATTGAGAGAGATTAATGAGAGAGATTCTCAGCAGCTAGCCTGATTGTGCTATTATGTATTACCATGTTGACCTGTGAACCTTGGAATACCAAGGTGAGTTTTCCAGATTGCTTCAATATTAGTTTCAGTGCTCTTTCTGCTGTGATTTTTTGTTGCAAAGGTGCTTAAAGTGTTTGCCAGAGGCACATGATGCTGGTGCATTAGTGCTTTCTATTTGATCTGTTGTTGTTTTTCCTGGAGACCACTCTTCATTCCCATAATCTTCTACCCTCAGACTGAAACGTAAGAAAAATGTGAAATTGTTTCTTATAATTGTTAACATTGCTTTATATCAATTATTGAATGCACTTCAAGTGTCCATGTCCCAATAAGGCTTCTGTATCAAAATTATGGCCAAGTCAAAGAAAACACTCAACTTTTGGGAGGCTAAAAACCCCCTTGCAGGTGTATTTACATAGAACAAACAAGAGATGGCCTTAAAAACAGGCAGGGGTTGGAGAACAGGAACGAGAGATGCAGTGTTTTAGGAACATTTATTTTGAAGCTTGAACATTGAATGTTGGCCCCTTTCCTTATATAACAAGGGAGTGTGTCCAGTTGCCTTTGTTGACATGTCCTTTGTCCTGCTCCCACATGGAGCTAAGAATGTTTTTTTTAAAAATCAACAAATAAAAAGACGGGGTGGGATTGGTTTTATAAGAAAGCTAGCAGAAACCTGAAAGAAGATCCGCAGTCAGGACAGAAGATTGAAATAGCATTGCTTTGTATGCTGAACCGCCAATCCGCTTCTTTGCTGTCAGAACTCCTCATCATGGTATGTCGTCTTTAAGCTCCATCCTGGGGTTTGGATATAGAACAGGGATGGGAAATCTGTGGCCCTGCAGAAGTTACTGGATTCCTTCTCCCATCAGCCTCAGCCAGCATGGCCACAGATCAAGGATGATGGGAGCTGTAGTCAGACAACATTCAGAGTGTCACAGTTTCCTCATTACTAGTGTAGAACATCTGGGTGCGAAATTTAAAATATCTACCTTGTACGCTATCAAAGGAGTCCATCCTCTCTGTCTCTGTGTGTCTCTGTCTCTCTCTTCTGCATGTATCATCCTGCATGTATTTTTGTGAAAGTGTACCAGAACTAGATTAGTAATTAGTTGAAGTGTAATAATAGTTGAGCCTCACTTTCTTGGGCAACTTCCTATCGAGTTTGAAGGAAAGTGCTGTGTAAGTATTTATATATTTATATTATTGCTTATAGCAGTACCTTTTCATGGGCCACATGGCTCTGTGAATGCTGATGTTAACTGAAAGCAAAGTATTAATCACTCTTAAGTGAGCAGGGTGATTATTTTGCTCAGCAAAATACTCAGCATATTTTGATTTGTACAACCTTTTGGTGTTACTTGAGTAATTAAAATACAGAGGGAGGGGCACAAATCTGATCCAGCTCTTGTTATATACAGCAAGCAATGCCCTCAGGCAGAGAAGTGTGTCCCCGTGTGCACCAAACATGACATAAGGTCAAGTCAGTGAGGTCTGGATAAGCATTGCGATGCAGATGTGCATCATGCACGTGTGAGTGCCTCTTACATGGGGGTCTCTCACTGGGCTGGGATAATTTAAGGTGCCTACCCCCTTGTCAATATTTTGCAGGAGAGATTCACGTGCATATTAGAGCTTTAGAGTGGTGTATTTAAACGGGGTTAAGTGATCTGTTGCCCTAGTGCAGCAAATCCACTTCTTTTCTTTTTGAAAAATGACGTTTGTGGTTTGGAAAGTGACTGAGAAATGCACTGAAAATATGGGATGAACAAATGATTAATGAAAAGACTTGAAGACTTATTGCTACTACTGAATCTTTACTGGGTTCTCAATGTTTTTCCAGTGCTGGGTTTTAATCAGTGTTCACACATTATCCAAAATACAGTGTGGACTTTGGGCTTTCAAATTTCTGTGGTGCCCTGTGTGACACCAGAATTTGGTGCCCACCTTCCATTTTTCCATTGGTGCAGCACCCTTTGCAGCACCTTCTTGGCTCTGTCCCCAATACGGGTGAATCTGTCACACTCCTCCAATACAGATGTGTCCTGTTTCTCTTGATGTTTCTTGTGCCTGAGTCATTGGATACCTACTGCCAGCTAGAGCAAGAGTTCCCCAAATGTGGCCTGCGGACCACAGGCTTTGGCAATGTGACCTATGGAATTGTGAAGACCACGTGAAATATTCTTATTTGATCACATTAATATTCTTATGTTGTCTTTTGTTGTATTACCATTTAAATTCAATTTCCCCCCCCCCATGGGAGGCGGGGGCAGCATGGGAATCACTGTTAGGGTAAACAATACTGAGCTAGGTGGCCCAGATAGTCTGAGGCTGCTTCCTGCGTTCGGTTCCTGTCCTTGGCAGCAAAAACAGAAAACAAAGAAGTCTATAGAGAAGCTAAGAAAATGCTGCTCCTTCCAAGGCTTAACAGTGTGATCCATTTTCAGGTTAGTCAGGGTGAGGGTGACTACGTCAGGCACCCCAAAACCTACATCTTTGAGCAGTGTGGGGTAGATACTGTATGCACTTGACCAGGGCTGGATTTAGGTTTGATGAAGCCCTAAGCTACTGAAGGTAATGGGGCCCTTTATGTGTCCAGCTGTCCTTTGTCAACAACAAATTGTCACTTTTTTGTGTTGAATATACAATATATGGTAATTTATGGACCTAATAGGTATCTAAAGCCATTTGCACATGCTGCCATGCAACCAGTCCATGCACAATGTAGGCACCCGATATATAGAAATGAGCAAACCAATATTTTAGGGAGCAGGCTAGCAGGTGGGGCCCATTACTTACACAGTAGGAGCGTACACAACACAAAACACTGTTGCTGTATGTAGGTTTTACTTTGTTTTTTATCTTATATTTTGGAAATGTATATTAAAAAAAATCATTCACTTTTTTGGGGGGCCCTAAGCTATAGCTTGTTTAGCTTGCATGTAAATGTGGCACTGCACTTTATATATATGTGTTTGTGTGTCTCTCTCCCCCCCTCCCCCCGCAGTTGCTGCTGCTCCTCAGTCGGCCAAATTTCTTGGGCGAGCTCTGATACTTCCTCGGAAACCTATGCAGTTCAGTGGAGTTTGCTCCCACTGGGAAGCGGATAAAGGCTCACAGCCCAGGTTTCCGTCGAGGACAGCCCGTTTCTCAGCCGAAGGCAGCCGCCTTTCCCAAGGCCGTCCCTGCCCGAGGGCTCCCTGGGCTCCGCCTGCCCAGGGACCTGTTCATAAGGCTCCCTCCCCAGCCGGACGCCCGCAATGACAGCGGCGCATCTCCATCAGTCCCGAGCAAGCCCGGCGCTTGCGCGGCCTCCCTTCCCCAGCACGAGGCGGCGGGAGCCAATCGCAAGCGGGGAACAGCTAGCCGCTCCAGGCTTCGGGTTGTGATTGGAGGATCGGTTTCTATTTAAGGTTCCCGCCTCAGTAAGTGCAGCATTCTCTCTCCGGGCAAGTTCCCTCAGGGGCGTCGAGCTGCTGCTTTCTCTTTTTTTTCTCGCGCAGCCACTTCGTAAATGGTATTGAGCGGGGTCTAAAGCGGCTGCTGCCCACCGTCCAGATCAGGGCTGCCACGTGCTGTGCTCTTTTGCTGTCGGGAGCGTCTTTTGGACTCGCATTTTTGTGCAGCCCACGAAGTCCAAAAGGGGATTGCTCAAGGTGCTCACCCTTTCGCTCCACACAAGGGGCGAGGGCAACCCAGCCAGATGGCGGTGTATAAATAATAAAATACTTATAAGTATGCTGCTGCTGCTTGACAAGTGAAAAGACTCCCACGAGAGGTGATGGATTCGCCTTCCTTGGATGTTTTTAAGCAGAGGCTGGAAGGCCATCTGTCGTGGCTGCTCGCGTTGAGATTAATGCATTTCAGGGGGCTGGGCTAGATGACCCTTGGTGTCCCTTCCAACTGACAAAATGGATTTCAATAGGGGTGAATGTAAGGCTCTGCACTTAGGCAGGAAGAACCAGCTGCACAAATATAAGATGGGGACACTTGCCTTGCCAGCAGTACATGTGAAAAGGTTCTAGGGGTCTTAGTAGACCACAAGCTGAACATGAGCCAAACAGGACTCTCTATTCTCAGGAGAATAATGTAAAAAAAAGAAGAAGAAGCCGACACTCTAAGATAGTGATCTTACGATTTGAAGTCAAGGGCTTTTTTCTCTAGATCAATGGGAGCGTCTTTATCCTTGCACTATGTCCTCATCCAGGAATCAATAGGATGATAACTGTATAAGCATAATGAATCTGCTCCACTCCTTGCTCTGTATTTGTGCAGAGACTTGCTGTGTCAGAAAATAATAATAATCCATTTTAACTATCAGGAGATCCCTATCTGGGTACTGACCAGACCCAGGTTTGTGCTGTTTTAGCAAACTTCTTGTGTGATGTACCTTCGGACTCTGTGTGGAACTTGATTATACCTCCTTCCTCCCAGAACTTAATTCTCAACTCTGGGAGACACAGATTAGAAAGACTACAAATGTGTTATCTCAGCACCCTTGTACTATGGATTCTAGTATACTTAATAATTGAAGCTGTACGTTTTATTTTTATTGCCAAGAAGCATACTGCTGGAGTAAGAATATGCAAGGCTTTTAGAGTTATAGAATGTTTTGGCTTTTCCCTATAATTTAATCATCTGCCAAAGCTATTTATTGTCTGATATATGAAATATGGTCCTTGAAAGAAATTAAAACATTAGAAGCACTGTTTGAATTGGGTCACCACCACCTCCTTTCTTTTGAAAGTGAAATATGACTTTACGAGTATATGTCCTTGAGTAGATATTTTTACATGCTTTCACCTTTTGGTGAAAATCCATGCTGAAAGACTCACGCACATAAACTTTACTAGGGTGGTAATGGTAGAAATATTGCTAAATTGCCTTCATTTTTACTGTGTGTGTTGAAACAGCAGGTGCGGATAACCTTCTTTGGCCCAAGGGCTGCATTGTCTGCTTGTAACTCCTTCAGGGACTGCATGTGGCAAAAAATCAGGGCGAAACCCAGCCCATGAAGCAACAATTTGACCTCTCTGTGTTAAAAGCAGTCCAGATATTCCTCCTCCTTCTTGTCCTTTCCATTCTGTAACAGTAGCATGTGGATGGCAGGCCATACAGTCAACAGTGCATTCAGTCTATCGTGCTGCATGTGCTTGAGGGTGCTCTTTAACACGCCGAACCTTGTCTCTCACCACCTGCAGGTCTTCCATATCTTCCTCGTCATGCTGCTCTCTGGTGTGGGCAGCTCCTCTGTTTTAAATTCCACATCGCTGGAGGACCAGCTTTTCCAGTACATTGACGACCATCAAGAAAAATTTGTTGAGGTAGAAGCAGCGCCAAATGTGAACTCTGCTAGCAAAAAAATGTGCCACTCAACCCCACTGTTCCTTACTTGGAAGCAATTCCTTTTGTATAACAAGGTTTACTGCCAGTCGAGTTTGCATAGGATAACAGCGCCAGCTTGAACCACAGAGCAGAGAGTAACCTCCTCTGCCTCTTTTTCCCCAATTGCTTAGCTAGGCAGTTACTTCGTTACCAAGGTGCTTGGTGTTTATAAGCAAGGTATGACAAAAATGTTGTTTTTCCTCTTTCCTTTGGCAACACCAAATGATACCAAACAGGCAAGGCATAGGTACTCAATGATACTTTGTATCATTGATACACAACCATTTATAAATAATCCTGTTTATAAATAACCCTGCTAGGGGCAAACTAGATGTGGTATTTTGCAACATTTCCCCATTCAAGTATGAAGAAAGAATCATAGAGTTAGAAAGGACCAGAGGGTCATCTAGTCCAACCCCCTGCAATGCAGGAATCTTTTGCCCAGTGCGGGGCTTGAACTCTCAACCATGGGAATAAGTCTCATGCTCCAGCGGCTGAGCTATCCTAAATGAAGTGGGGTTCTATTTTTATTTTTTAATAACAAAAGGCACATTCATAGGCACATTCACCTCTAGGCTTTACATGCCCACACACTGACATCACAGATACTTTTCTCTTAGTACCCAAGGCAGGGAAGAGAATTTTACAGAGCCACATCTATTTTTTTTGTAAACACAGGCTCCCCTACCCCATCTTTTAGACCAGAACATAGCAGAGATGTAACTAAACAGACAAAGCTGTCCCCATCACTATTAGTTTGGCCCTGAGAATTAAGTTACGGTAACTGCACTTGCATGGGACGGGGGTGGCGCTGTGGGTAAAAGCCTCAGCGCCTAGAGCTTGCCGATCGAAAGGTTGGCGGTTCGAATCCTCGCAGCGGGGTGCGCTCCCGTTGCTCGGTCCCAGCGCCTGCCAACCTAGCAGTTCGAAAGTACCCCCAGGTACAAGTAGATAAATAGGGACCGCTTACTAGCGGGAAGGTAAACGGCGTTTCCGTGTGCGGCTCTGGCTCGCCAGAGCAGCGATGTCATGCTGGCCACGTGACCCGGAAGTGTCTGCGGACAGCGCTGGCTCCTGGCCTCTAGAGTGAGATGAGCGCACAACCCTAGAGTCTGTCAAGACTGGCCCGTACGGGCAGGGGTACCTTAACTGCACTTGCATTACTTGTTGTGTTCATGGGTGTTCAGACAATGGTTATCTGACAATACAGAATGAATGCAATTACATAATCCGAACAAAATTTCAGGATGGAGAAAATGGTGTGGGTGGACATCCTTATTGCTGCTCTGATTCTTCCATGCTTCCTCTTAAAAAGGGAAGATTTTATAGTGACGGATCCCTTAGATGTAATTAGAAGGAAATAGGATTTACCAAGATGGATTACCGCACCTTTAATAGCTTTATATGACACTTCATAATACCATGCATGATCACTGTTTTTTATTTCAGACTCTTAAGAAATGGGTAGCTGTGGAGAGTGATTCCATACAACCAGCACAAAGATCAGAAGTGAAAAAAATGGTAGAAATGGCTGCAAGTTGTCTCCGGGACTTAGGAGCAAATGTGACGTTGGTCGATATGCCTGTCCATGAGGTAACAAGGGGTTTGAGGTGGGAATATATCAGTTTTCCGCTTATTCCTCCTCAGCTGCAGCTCCTCATGCAGTACACATCATGGTGGGGTGGGGGGTTGACCTTCAAGTTGCGATAGTGCGAAGGCAAGGCTGGTTCAGAAGACGCATTCCATGAGCAAGAAGGATTCTGCTCATGATTATTTGGTTCCAAGCCTTTGTTTCAAAACATAATGCCTTCCTGTTTTCCTAAGGTTTTGAATTTAATGGAGCAATGCTTCACTATACCCCTGCAGGTACTTGATGGCAGAAATATTTCATTACCTCCTGTCATTCTGGCAGAGCTTGGAGAAGATCCACTAAAGCCCACTGTGTGTTTTTATGGACATGTGGATGTGATGCCTGCTAATAAGTCGGATGGGTGGGAAACAGATCCCTACATATTGACTGACATTGGTGGTATGTACACCACCATTGCTTTTGACATGGTTATTTTAATGTTGTATGCATTTCACACACACACACACACACACACACACACCCATACCCACATACCCCTTCCCCAACTTTGTTTCATAATTCAGCTTCTGCTAAATGGCGTTATCTGAATTGCCGGAAGAGATCTTTTGATGAAGGGCAGTATATAAATTTCATTAATAAAAGAATAAAATCAGATGCTGTGTGTTAAGTTGTGGGTGAACATATCAGACGGCACAGCAATTCTTCAAACGGCTCTTGTTTATTCACAGGCCAGAACAGAACTGAACTGAAGGGTTCAGTCAGCCTGCTTATATAGAGCTCCAGTACAATGTAACTGTAACAATTTTCTAAAACTATCCAATCACTGAATGTCACTTTCGATCCCTTATTTGCATAACTATCTACAGTATCCCCCTGCTGGTCCAGGGTGAGAACTTCAGTACATAACACTGTGGATTAATGGTCTCATGACAACCTAACAAGTTTATGCTCCCCACTGTTTCTCTCCTAAAAGAGGTCACCATTGATTACCAAAGCCATCTTCGGAGCTAAATCAAAGCCTAAACCCAGAGTAAAATGAATGTGGTTAATCTGTTTCCTCTTGTGAACCACTCTGAGACCTGCAGGGATTGGGCAGTATACAAATTTAACAACAGCAGCAACAACCATACCTGGAGTTGAGCCACCCTTATTCCCTTGAGCATTGTTTGAGGGGTAGTGAGGCTGAAGAGAGTATAGTAAATTCATGACAGAGGCAAGAGACAGACCAGGGACTTCCTGATTCATAGCTTAGTCTCTTTGTTGTTGTGTTGTACCATTTCAATTCTACCCTTAGCATTATCAGAAGTTTAAAAGTTTAATATGAGCTTTCTTTATCTGGAGGGAACCTTTATGGGCGTGGAGCAACAGATAACAAAGGACCTGTCCTAGCCTGGATACATGCAGTGAGTGCATTCAAAGAACTAAGAAAAGTAAGTCAAGTAAAAAAGTATGCTGTTACCAGATTTGCTAGTACAGTGGACGCTCGGGATGCGAATGTGATCTGTGTGCGATACACGTTCTCAACCTGCAGTGGTGCGTCTGCGCACGCGCGGGTTGCGATTCGGTGCTTCTGCACATGCGCAAAGCGCAATTTAGCACTCCTGCGCATGGGCGACTGCCAAAACCCGGAAGTAACCTATTCTGGTATTTCCGGGTTTCGGCGGTCCGTAACCTGAAAAAACTCAACCTGAAGCGTCTGTAACCCGAAGTATGACTGTATGCCAAAGGCGCGCATGCTGTGATCTTCAGAACTTTTCTGGACAGTATTGCACACCACAGACCTTGTCCCAATGGGCCTGACTACAGTCAGACCAACACTGATTAAATTCAGAGAATCTAGCAGTAATCACCTTGTATGAAAATCTGAAGTGGAGACTTGAAGACTAGGAAGGGTGTAAAACGCTAGAGATCAGAGCTAAGAGAACTAGAATTGGACAGGAACTGTGAAATCAGAAAGTTAGAAGAAAGTGAGAGTTGAGACATGGATATGATCTGTCCTGCTGTAAGGTAACTGCAGAGAAGCAAAAAGAAGGGGGGAGGATTTTCACTGCAACATGGCAGTACACTCTCACAGCCAGGGTAGAGTTGGTGTTCCAAGAGTCACAATTTTCTTGGGTTGTTGGGAGAAAACAGGGTTGGGGTCTCCTTCTCCTAAATGGAGACCACCACCAGCAGTCTCTCCCCTCAAGCCTCCCCTAATCCACCAGGACCCTCAAGAGCCTCCCTTCATTTTTAAGTGTCTCCTTATGTACTTTATTTTGGGTTCTGCCGAGCTTTCTTATTCTAGTAAAAGGAAGCAGGAATGAAAACAAAAATCTGCTAGCTAGTGCCTTGTCCTGACTAGCTCCAAAAAGAAATGTAATAGACATGATAAAGAAGCAGCCAGGCTTTATGAGAATTTTGAAACAGAGCAGCATGGTGCAGCGTTTAGGATGCATTCTGAAAAGTTGAACAAGGCATCTTAGGGCTCACGCCACACTTCCGGTTCTTCCATGATTCTAGGCATGGGTCTGAGAGGTTTTTCTATTGTCCTGCTGCTTTCCCCAGGAAATCCTGCTGCTTATTTCTGAATCAGAACAAACGCCAATCCGCAGAAAGCCTGACTGACGTTTGTTCTGATTCAGCAGTAAACAGCAGGCCCGAAAGTCATTACATAACAAAAGGGTGAAGGTGAAGAACAATCATAGGAGATCATGAATCACTTCAGTTAAATTTCCCACTACAGATGTAAGGCAAACACACTCATGCATCTTAGCCAATCAAATTTGTATTTTCATAAGGTGACCCTGTCTCTTCTGAAAAGGACAGGCTTAGATTTCTCAAGAAATGCAAAAGAGGACATTTGTCTTAATCAAGGAAGGATATTCTTGTGGGACAGAATCCAGTTACTCACAAGGGATGATTAATGGCCGCTCTTGATTTGGGTAGAGAAATGAATCAGCAGCCAAATGCATATTGTTCCAAACTGGGTGCATATGTGTCAAGGAACAGCCACCAGACCCCGGCCTCTGCATCCTGCACTAGTTGTTATGATCGCCTACGTAGAACACATTACAGTAGTTGAGCCCAGAGGTAACTGGACAAAAAAATAGAATTGAGTTTTTACTGAGAGTGCATTTTCCTTCAGGTAACTTGACATTTTTTGTTTTTAGGACTTGCCAGTAAACCTCAAGTTTCTTATTGAAGGCATGGAAGAAGCAATCTCCATTGGACTAAAAGAACTGGTTGAAAGAGAGAAAGAGCAGTTTTTCTCCAATGTTAACTATATTGTGATTTCGGATAATACTTGGCTCAGCACGGAAAAGCCAGCTCTTACATATGGGACTCGGGGAAATGCCGGCTTCTCTGTGGAGGTAAAAGGGTAATAATGGAGTCACATGTCCTGGCCCACCTCAGCTAAAGAAGGCACTCACCTGATAGTTAAGTCTTTATTGACAGAAGAAGCACTTCCAACAACTCCCACAGTGCTCCGGATGCACACACGTGAGCACACACTTCAGGCCACTAGGCAGCTCTCCCTGATATCTGTGCCCAGTGGAGCAGTTGCAGCAACTGTGAGAACCTGCCCCTCTGCTGCCTTGTATACCCTCCCCCTGATGGGTTGCGCACCTGCAACCAGAGACTTCTCCTTCATGGAAGTTGCCGCTGCTCTTCTTGCTTCAAGCCCCTCCTGCCTCAAGGATACAGTGAGGTGGTGAAAGGTGGGGAGTCTACTGACCCATCCATCACCAGAACAACCTCCTCTTCTTCCACCACATACTGCCTGTCTTTCTCCTTCTTGGACTCCCCTGCCTCTTCCTTCTTCCCCTTTCCTGGCTCTTGCCTTGTGGGCAGTGCCAAACCCTATATATCCCTGGCCCCCTCTCCTGGGTCATTCCCCTGATCCCCGGTCCCCTGCCTCTGCCCCACACTCTTTGGAGTCCTGCCAGTCTCTGACATCATATGTGTCTAAAACATTATTTTTCTGGCTTTGATGTTAGGTAGAAAGGATGCAAATTGTGCTACCGATAGAGCATTCCTTCCACCCTTTCTCCCACTTCTACTCCCCCTTTTAATTGGTATTCCAGTACACTTAATCATCGCTGCTAAGGTCGTAGTCGCTGTCTCCTTCGCTTATATCAAACATTTATTTTGCAAAAACAGGAAGTGCCTGGCACTGTCCAGGAATTTGTAGAATAAAAATACACTGCACTTTTAAAATGGATAGTATACTTTGTGAGTTTGGACCAGTCATGCCACAAACTGGGAGAGGTCATGCAGAAGTCACATTTCAGTCCACCATCTTGATTCAAAATGGTGCCCGGCATCAAAACAGTGATGAAGACCACCACCTCAGGAGCCTTCATGCTGAGAGGTGGACAAAACTATGTCAAAAACCAAAGTAATGTTGAAGTGATGTTTTGGTCCACCATCTTGATCCATAATGGTGTCCAGAATCCAAACAGTGACAAAGTCTGCTCACACCCTGCATCAAGAACTATTGTGTCAAGTTATCTCAAGAGACAGCCAAACCTATGCCAAGAAACAGTAACCAAAGTCACATTTCAGCCTGTCATCTTGAATCAAAATGGCGTCCAAACATTGACAAAGAATGCTACCCTCCCTCGGAAACCCTTGTGCCTAGTTTGGCAATGATACCCTGAGTGGCGTCCAAATGTACAACCAGACAGACAGGCAAACTACTTTCCAAAATGTATAACAGATAAATAAATATATGAGTACTAATCATGCTGATGCAACCCAGGATACTTCTGGTGGAGATAGTAGTATTTGCATAATTCTTCCTTCACAGAGATAGCTCTCTCTGTGTGTGTGTATAAAACACATTCCACTTTCTCTTGGGGTTCATCCATTGCTGTCGTTTAATGCAGATAGTAAACTTACTGTACCTCCATTAATTCTCCATCGTCTATATGGCATTCTCATTTAGATTAACCCCTTTCCACACTTGCATCTCCCACAATCTAGATTTTCTCATACCTGGGTAACTTTGAAAAGGAGAGTCATGCAGGGCAACAGAAACAACTGGCCATTCATATGTTGTTGATGTAATCCAGAGGGGTTGAATGTTAAAAAGAATCGATGCAAGATTTATGCTACATAAATAAAGGGGATGTAAGCTTCAGGTACAAACATAAAAGGAATGTCAATACTACAAGCTTCAATCCTACTCAGAACTATGATGCAAATTCTGAGTAGGATTGGAGCTTGTCATATTGACATTCCTAATTATGCTAATTAATTCCTGTGATGCAAATTAAAACAATGATAATGTGTCAGTCGTGATGTTGTCTTCATGTTTAAATTAGGTACAAGGTGGCGAAAGAGATCTTCATTCAGGAGCTCTAGGTGGCATCGTCCAGGAACCCATGTCTGATCTGATAGCCTTGCTTGGTAAAAATTCTGTTCATTTGTCTATATAGTCTTTAATCAGAAATTAAGGTCTGCAACAAATGATAAAAATGCTTGGTTTAGTTTGCATAGGCAAGTTAGGAATTTAGGTTAGTAGAGTGTGCAAATAATTGGCAAACCCAAGGTTTCTATAGATGAATATTCACAAGTGTACATGTACACAAGACTGAGGACTCTGAGAACAGGTGTAGAAGAAGGGACAGGTTATAGTAGCCAGGACTGAGGGTATTGCCAAATGTTCATTCCTTTGGTATTCTCAAGTAACATAGTGGTAAACTGAGAATTATTTTATAAGGCACTAACTGTGGTGTTAAAAACACTGAAGTGCAACCCTAATTGGACATGAAATTACATAATGATTTTTCAGAGTACTCATTGCATTTGCTGCGACAATTTCTTTGAACATTATGTTGCAGAGTTGCTTGAAACTGAATCACACCTGAAGGTGAAATTGCTTTTGCTAAAGCTGGCTTGTAATGCAAACATACAATGACCAGACCATACTGCCTTTAATATTTAATGTAATTTTTCAGCATTAACAAATAGAGAGATATAAATTTCACCTAACAATAACAATTGTTCCCACCCCCTAATAACCCCTTGCCCAACACAATGGAAATCCTAAGCACACAACAGCCATTTGCAGAGATGGAAAAGATGACAGACAATAAGAAGAAATCCGTTTCAATTTCAGCTCACCCACATACAAGGCCGGTTATATCTAGGAAGGAAATATACTACTGCTACTTCTGCTACTAATAATAAATATTTTCATCATTACTATTTGAAATTATATCCCAGCCTTCCTCCTCAACCTCAACCTCCTTGGTTGGTTGGTGGTACTGACCCACCGTGTGACTTCTTTTTTCCAAAAATGGTTCTCTTTCGCTTTCTTCTGTCTACACCCAGACACAGCACAAATAGCACAGAAGCCCATAGCATTCTGTCAGTCCTTCTCATACAGGGTCAAGGAGGGTCACACAGACAGATCTCATATGACTGAGCATGGAACAACAGCAATTGTGTGTTTTGCAAAATGTGTTTGTTCCATAGGCAGTCTTGTGGATTCATCAGGCCACATTCTGATTCCTGGAATCTATGATGACGTTGCTAATTTTACAGAAGAGGAGAAGAAGCTGTATGAGCCAATAGAATTTGACATAGAGCAATACAAGGTTGACGTCGGTGTGAAGAAATTTCTCTATGATACCAAGGTACAGTACTGCCAATAGAAATTGAAAGCATGACAGGACATCTAAAATAAGGGAATTGCAGAAAGATGTTGAGAGAAGCCATGACTGGCTAACTCCTATTTTTGTTTCATTATGTTTCTAAGGAGGAAATACTTTCACACTTGTGGCGCTTCCCATCTCTCTCTATTCATGGGATAGAAGGAGCTTTTCATGAAAAAGGGATCAAAACAGTTATACCATCAAGAGTCATAGGAAAGTTTTCAATCCGGCAAGTTCCTCACATGAACCTTTCTACTGTGGAATGTCAGGTAATGTTGGTTAGACGCACTTGATTATGATTCAGCTTATTTGCACAACAGGTCCAGGCACTGCTTCAGCTCTTACATTTAAAGTAAAAAAAGGCATGTGATGATGTATTGTTATCCTACCAGTGAAGGTCAGAGACCCCAATTCCTTGACTTTCTCGTTTTACAAATTAAGCACTGGAAGAGATAACACGGTCTGCTTGGTATTAACATTTCACCTATGTAGAAGCCTATGTCCAAAGATTTGCTTGCCTAGGCTGAAATTTACTTCCCTCCCCCTTTTGCTTTGGTCTCATGTCTCTTTGGGATTGACAGGTCACAATGATGCATTTGATGCTGACAGTGAGAAAGCCACAGCTAACTGAATTCCACTGTCAATATGAGCTTTCCAAACTGTGTGTTGTGACACGTTAGTGTGTTGGCATGTTGCACAAACACTCCCCATGCTCCTCCCAAGGGTTGGAAAGGGGTTAGTTTAACCTCCGGTTTCCTAGTAAAACGGAATTACTGTGTTGCAAAATGATGCATGTCTAAAAAGTGTGTCACCAACATGAAAAGTTTGGAAAGCTCTGGTCTAGAGAGAGCAACCTCTTACTTCAATCACCACAGCCCAGCTTCACTCCTCCTCCATAAATCTACTTCTGTGTAGAAGGTGGAAGCTGGCCCTTATGTTGTCCCACACTGCCTCTTTCCCTGCATGAAGTTTGAGTCCCACCCCAGGCAAACTGATAACTATCTCTTCCCACACAGAGGTTGGACTGCAAACTATTTAGTTCCCCGAGCAACCAACTACTCCATCCTGCCATACCAGTTCAATCAGTTAGTGGCAGAGGGTTCGCTGCTAACAAACACTATGGAATATTAGATAATATAAAGACACCACAAACATTTTTATTGAAAACATTTTCTTTTCAGGTGAAACGGCATTTAGAAAAGGTGTTCTCTGAACGAAACAGCCCAAACAAACTGAGAGTGTATGCTGAAGAGGGTGCATCGCCATGGATTACTAATATCAGTGATCCTCAGTACAAAGCAGCTGCAAAGGCGATCAAAAGAGGTTTGAAATGTTTTTTGAAATATATATATATTTGTTTAGAACATTATTTGACTTACACATTCTCATTTTCTGTCTCTAAAGATGTGAAATATGTGCAAAGAATAAAGCTTGAACACAACACATAAATTAGACTGTATCGCATAATCTGAAATTAAAGTGTTCATTTAGCTTTGTCAACAAAAAGCAGGCAGGTTAGCTTTTCAAGTGCCAGATATTCCATTTTTTGCTAGCAGAAGCATGTTCTCCTATAGAACCTCCTGAAAACCTAATTTGCATCCCCTGGTGAAATTATTTTGTTTCAGACAAAAAAGTGTGTATATGTCTATGTATGTATGAATGTGTATGTGAGTGAGTGAGAGAGAATGGGAAAATTACTTGACTTCTATCATTCTAGTTTTTTTCTGCCTCCCGTTCCTTCATGGAATTTTTAAACAATCCCCTTATCTTCCCTATATATGTAGTATCCCTTCATTTTCATTTTTTCATTTTCATTCCCCTCTTATTAATGATTTTAGAGAAAATAAACCTATTTGGCCCTGCCGTTCTGCCAAATCTATTCTGGTTTTCCAGTGTGTTTTTAATAATATTTATAGCTTCAAAAATGTTTATCATTATTACTATTAATTACATTTTCCTCCTGTCCTTCCTTTAAAAAAGCTCAAAGTGGCATAAGTGTGAGGTAGCTTAGGCTGAGAAATAGCTTAATGCCATGGTAGACAACATCACAGCTTTGCATGCCCACTATGACAACTGTCCTTCCCTTACCAAAAAAACAAAACAAACCCAGAGATCCAACATGCAAACCTGTGTGCTGCATTAGGCTACTTTTGAAGGCAACTTTTGAAGGGGCAACTTTTCATGCCCTTCCCCTCAACCAAATAAGCTAGCTCTGCCACCACCATAACATATTATACACATAAGACTGAAATGGGGGGGGGGGGAGCTTGTCAGTGTAATCATCTCCAACTTGAAGAACAGGTACTGTTTGGGGGCTTGTACCATGGAAGATATAGCAGTCTGCTTATGGCTACCTGCTGTGTAGATTTTTTTAACCACTACCACAACAGTAGAATTTCTTTAAACAAAAACCTAAACCAAGAGCACATTCTTCACACTACCACTTCCATATGTTTCAGTTTTTAAAAAGGATCCAGATATGATTCGGGATGGATCAACAATTCCAATTGCTCAGATGCTTCAGGATATAACAAAGAAAAGCGTGATGATGTTTCCGATTGGAGCAGCAGATGATGGGGAACACTCTCAGAAAGAGAAGATAAGCAGGTAAACAAGGTAGACTAATTCCATATAAGCGCCCTCTTTATAAAGTAAGGTATTTCCACATTACCTAGAGACCTAAATTTTAATACATGCATAGAGCAGAGTCCCTAATTACTAGGAAAGCAGAATATTTGTACTTTTCTGCTTCAAAACAGGAGGTTTTTTTTATCTCCACATGTTTAAAATATTTCCAAAGCACGTCAGAGTCTATAACCTGGCACATACAAAGTCCACAACACCCTTGTTGTTAGAAAAGGTCTAGAAATGGAATATGTCTACATCTGTCCCTCAAAATAGCAATGAGGAAGAGAAAAAATAGTGTCCTCACACCCCTCCCTGCACACACACACAAATACAAGTGTGCATGTTTCTCTGTGGGAATGCATGTATATAAATAATGGCAAGTCATGGCTTCCACACTTTCCCTATCATTTCATGTAGTAGTCATTGAACAACCATCTGGTTTCATACTTCGGTTTGCAATCCAGATAGTTCTTTGTTTCTGAAACTTGCATGTATACAGTGTTCTGTGTACCATCAGATTATATGTATATGTAAAATGTCCCTATGAGTTGAAGAAATGAATTTTGGGCATTTCACACAATATAGCAACTTTAATATTTAGATTGCTTTTCTCTTCTTTCCCAATCAGAAAAAATTACATTAATGGAACAAAAGTGTTTTCCTCCTTTTTACTGGAGATCGCAAAGCTCCATAAGGAATTACTGAGAGGCTCCAAGTGACAACTGCAACTTCATGGCAGATCAAGTGCAGTTTGACTACTGGATTTGTAGTTCTGTTATGTATGGTTACAATTCCAGAAAAACGTCAAAGGGCTCTTCCATAAGTTCAGTTCCAAGACCGGCAGACACTTGTCCTACCCCGCAACTACCTCCCGCCACCTCCATTATGAATACATTTTGTCCTTTAAATCTGTGTTCCAATCATTCCTACATCTCTTAACGCACTTCAGAGCACAAATATACACTCATCTTAATACAGGTGGGCTGTTCACTGCTGTATGCTAATGATTGCTATTAATGTCTTATAAATCATTGTCAACTGCTTTGTGAGATGATTGTTCTGACAAGTGGTGTCCTATATAAACCTTATAATAAAATAAAGTAGGTCTGCTTCTATTACTACTACCATTATTACTATTATTATTTATTAAATTTCTATTCCAGTTTACAACATAAAAACACAAAATACACACCTTAATAGCAAACAATAACAGTAACCCCTCCTCACACAGTTTAGAAGGCCATAGATTGTTTAATTAGCCAAAGGCCAGGGAGAAGAGGTATGTTTTTGCTTGGCTCCTAAAGATATTTAACGAAGGTGCCAAGCGAGCTTCTCTGGGGAGAACATTCAAACGTGGGGAGCTACCACTGAAAAGGCACGTTCTTGTGTTGCTGCCCTCTGGACCTCTCGTGGAGAAGGCACACAACAAGGGTATTTTGTGCCACATAGTTTCCCCTGTCACTCAGTTTCTGGGTCCACAACACAGCAGAATATGCTTCATCTTCCTTTTTAGCTTTTGTGAGTTTGGTGCCATGGGAAGACTAAACCATGGTACATGCAGTGTTGAGGATCTGATGCTAGTGTCATCCTTAGAATTTTAGTAGTACAGTTATTACATTTTGCATTGTCTGCTTATTTACTGATAATGCACTGGGATATTTGAGACTGGGTTTTGGTTCTAGAAAACAGGAAGCTATTCAGGAGTGTCTGAATGTATACAAAAAACCAAGAGCACACCCAGGGCTTTTTTTCAGCCAGAACTCACAGGAACTCAGTTCTAGCACCTGCCAAGTGGGCACCATTGCCATTATAAGAGAACAAGGGAAGCGTTCATGGTGAGGTCCGGCACCTCTTTTTCTAGAAAAATAGCACTGAGTACATCTATTTTGGAAAACATATACACTACCTTGTTTCACACACAGATACTGTCTTCTTTTCAGCATCAAACTCAGGGGGAACAGAACCTGCTGATTTGAAGCAGCTGTGCAAAGTGGTGATTGGCAAACATCTCTGATATCATGACACACCCTCTCTTCAGAGTAGTTTTCAGCTTAAAACAAATATAATTATGTGTTGAATGGTTCTATGAATAACATTTGAAGTAAACACAAAGTGGCCAGTCCACCTAAACATGATGAGCGGGTCCAAACTGATAAGGAAAACTGTTTGCTGCCTGGTGTTTGATACATTTTTCATTTGAAGAGCAAAGACAGAAGGAAGCTGGACTTATTGTACATTTGCAGAGACAAAATCAAAATGTTTGGCTCAGTGGCATAAATTGCATGGAATCAGTGGATATCTGGGCTGATATAATGCTGTACTAGTAGCACCAAGTAATTGTACAAATTACTGCCAGTTTAATTATAGAAAATCTAAGATATTGATGTTTTTTTAAAGGGTCAAAGAATGAAGACAGAGAAGAGAGAGGATTTTTTTGACAATTGGGAGAAATTTATTGATGATACTAAAAGATATTTAGAACCAGATAGGATTTATGGGTTCACTATATTAATATTTTTGGGGAGATATCTAAGGCAAAATGGATATAGACATGTCTGGTTTAATTATGAATAGATCAGTGAAATTGGAACAAAGTGATAAAGTCTTCTAACAGACCAAGAGAAATAGATTATGTGAGCCTTCTGTTAAAATTTGAGTTATTAGTATTATAATTACATGATGCAACTTATTGTTCAAATTGTGCATTTTGTTAAGATTAATAATATTTTTGTGATAGGACGGAATTGTCATATGATGACATTACTGTAGTTCCTTAATACACAATATGAAGTGTTGCATTAATATTAATTAATGCAAACACAGTTTTGCGTTAATATTAAATAATGCCAAGAGCTTGAAATTTGTCCCAGATTAACCATTTACTTGAGTGAGAATTAGCTGAGCTCAAGCATTTTATCAATATTTGTTCATCCCAAATAGACAAAGGTTCAAGGACCTATTGATAAGTTATGTGCATACCAGGCCAGTATGACAGAGGGAAATCAGAAGAGGAAAAGAATAGTGCCTCCATGTTTATTTCTGAGGTGCTTGTATAATGTACCTTGCAATTTACAACAATTAATAAGATAAATGACTGAATCTCAGTTGTCAAACACTGATCATTGCCACTGAAAGTATGCTAGGTTCATCTTAAATTTTTTTCTGTAAATTTAAACCGGATTTTGAAATGCAACAAAACAACAGCAACAATAATAACATGTGAATTTACTTCACCAGACAGGAGGAGAAACTAAAAAGTGAAGGGACCACACAATTCTACATCTGGGCAATGGCCCCAGAAAAGGCCCCCTAACTCAGGGAATTAGTAACAACAAAATGCAGTAAATAAAATCTACAGTGTGCACTGTCATTGTATATTTTCTCCCATCCACAAGCCAAAGTCTTAATGTTTGCCTAATGTTCCACAAAAGCCCTGATTTGTTCATTACAGCAGATGTATCTCTTTCCAAGTTTTTAATCTCTTTGAACAGCAATCTTTAGTTCTCTTCTCTTTTGGTGACAGCCATTTTACTCCGAGTTTTGTGCATATGTTTTTGTCAATAGGTAATTTAAGGCTGTTAAAAGACCTCTCAATACATCTGTCTTTACTGGTGCAATCCTCTGTGAAGCATTAATTGCTTGCAGCGTTTCATCAGAATCAACTGCTCTGATGCTAATTACACTGGAAAACCACTAAAGCTGAAAACAAAAACAATTATAGCACATTAATATGTGAGAACTTGCTTGTGGCTATTTCTGATGAGCATAGTGGGGGGAAAGAAATATTTTCCCAGCATATTCATAATGGCAAGATGATGATCATTATTATATCAGGGCTGCAAGCACTCATCAACATTGCAATTACATTTCAAATTCCATTAGAAAAGCGAACTTTCTGCAGAATCACATTTCATGCTTGTTGTTAAGTCGTGGGTTGACATAGCAGCCGGCACAGCGATTTCTTCAAGTAGCTCTTTATTATGGTAAGCTGGAATACAACTAGACTGCGAACAGCTCAGCCGGCCTGTATTTATAGGCAGCCGGCTGTCAACATTGTAACCACAACAGCCCAGAGTTCCCGCCTAAAATAACTGCCGCGGACCTGAGTGAAAACTATCTACAGACCTGAGTGAAAACTATATACAGTATCCCCCTGTTGGCCCAGGGTGAAACTACACTACATAACACCCCTCCCCACCGAGATAAGGCGTTAGTTACAATCGTAATGGTTTCCTTATATACAGCACTACGCGTAATGGTTCCATTAAGCACAAAAGCATATCGGTTACATTTCCCATACTTAGACCAACAGTGATACCTGTCCAACAACATAGTCCTTTAAATAAGTTGGGCGCTTGGAAACTCTGCCAGACCGCCGGGGACTGGTAGCCAAGTCCGGAGGGCCACACAGTTCTCGCTGAGGCTGTGGTGCGACCCTAGGTGGCGTTGGAACCAACTCCCCTGGATCCGCTGCTGTGGGTGGAGCCTCCGCAAGTGGAGTGGTCTGAGTCTGTTCTGAAACGGCTTGGTTCGGCTCCACGCTGGCAGTTTGCGAGGGAGGTGTAGGTGGGGCCTCGCCATCTGTACGTGTCTCTTCTGGAGCCGCAAGCGCAGTTGGGGGCACCTCGGTAGTGTCCAAGTCCCCAACCCTGCGCCTAAGCTGGTCTATGTGCCGTCGCCACAAGCGTCCGTCTTCGAGTGCCACCTGGTACGAGCGAGGTCCAGTGACTCCCACTACTGTGGCTGGCACCCAAGGGATGTCCCCCACATAGTTCCGGGCAAAGACCTGGTTTCCTGGGACAAATGACCGTGGTGCGTTGGCACAGCCTGGGGGTTCAGCCACGGCAAAGTCTGGGTGTAGCCGGTCGAGCGGTGACCTGAGGCGGCGGCCCATAAGCAGTTCAGCAGGACTCCTCCCTGTGGCCGCATGAGGGGTGATGTGTTGCACGAACAAGTATTCGGCGACCCGCTCATGCCAGTCTCCCCGGTCCAGGCGCGCCAGTGCCTCTTTTGTCGAGCGCACCATTCTTTCCGCTTGCCCGTTGCTGGATGGATGAAAGGGTGCCGTTAGGGCATGGCGGATGCCCAGTCCCAAAAGATACCGCTCAAACGTGCCTGACGTGAACTGCGGTCCGTTGTCAGAGACAAGGACATCAGGACACCCATGCGTTGCAAACAGGCCTCGCAGCACCCGGATGACAGCTTCGGTAGTGGTGGAGGGCATCAGGGCGACCTCCAGCCATTTGGAATAGGCGTCCACCACTACCATAAAGGTCCGGCCGTGAAAGGGGCCAGCCAGATCGATGTGCACCCTCGACCAGGGTGTCTTTGGCGTCTCCCAGGTGTGTCCCTTAGCTGCCGGTGGTGCAGGCCTCGACTCCTGGCACGCTTGACAGGCGGACACCCAGGCAGTGATGGCATCGTCCATATTAGGCCACCAGACGTAACACCGAGCCAACGCCTTCATTTTGACAATTCCCGGGTGGCCAACGTGCAGAGCCTCCAGGACGCGCTGACGGAGTCCCTGGGGAATCACGACGCGGTCTCCCCACAGCAGGCAGCCACGATGAGCTGAGAGTTCATGTTGTCTGGTTGCGAAGGGCTGGAACTCCGATGCAAAAGGCCCTTGTGGCCACCCCCTCCACACCCAGTTGAGCACCCGGCTGATGGTGCGATCCTGGGCAGATGCGGAGGCCACAGTGGCAGCCGATACAGGCGCTGCCGGAAGATCCTCAATCAGAAGGAGCGATGAAGCTGGAGCCGGGTCTTCCACAAATGCTGGAAGAGGGCAACGGCTGAGGGCGTCGGCATGGCCCATCGATTTCCCCGGGCGATGGATGAGCCGGTAGTGGTAGGCAGCCAGGAAAACAGTCCATCGCAGCATGCGTGGTGAGAGGACCGGTGGAGTTGGACGATCACCGGCGAGGAGGCCCAGGAGTGGCTTGTGGTCAGTGATGAGGTCAAAAGTCCTGCCATAGAGGTATTCATGGAACCTCTTCACTCCAGCCACAAGTGCCAATGCCTCCTTGTCGAGCTGGCTGTAATTCCGTTCCGTCGGAGATAGTGTCCTGGAAAAGTAGGCGAGCGGTGCTTCTCTTCCATCTGGAAAACGGTGACTAAGGACAGCACCGATGCCAAAAGGTGAGGCGTCGCAGGCAAGGACCAGCGGCCTGGATTCACTGTACTGTACCAGCACACTGTCTGAAGAAAGGAGAGCCTTGACCGCGTTGAAGGCCGCCGTCTCCCGATGACCCCAGGCCCAAGGCGTCTTAGTGCTAAGGAGTCGGTGAAGAGGCTCAGCCACTGTGGCTTTGTGGGGCAGGAACATGTTATAAAAGTTCAGCAGCCCCAGGAATGCCTGCAACTCCGTTTTGTTCTTTGGGGTGGGGGCCTGCTGGATAGCGCGGATCTTGGATGTGGTTGGATGAAGACCGGAGGCATCGATAAGATAGCCCAGGAACTCTACCTGTGGAACGGCGATCTGGCACTTCTCCCTCTTTACCTTGAGCCCGGCCTCCTGGAACCTGGTCAGCACGGCACGGAGGCGCTCGAACAGCTGCTGGTGTGAGTCTGCAGACACCAAGACGTCATCAAAATATGGTACCACGCCCGGAAGCCCTTGCAGGAGACGCTCCATAAGGCTTTGGAAGATGCCAGGAGCCACACTCACCCCGAACTGCAACCGGCGGCAACGGAAAGCCCCCCGGTGGGTGACGATCGTCTGGGCTTCAGCAGTGGCATCATCGACTGGCAGTTGTTGATAGGCTTGGGCAAGGTCCAGCTTAGCGAAGACCTTACCCTCACCCAGGGAATGCAGCAGGTGTTGGACAACAGGAACCGGATAAGCGTGCTGCTGAAGTGCCTTGTTGATCGTGCACTTGTAGTCAGCGCAGATTCTCACCGACCCATCTGGCTTGACAGGCGTGACGATGGGGGTTTCCCACTTTGCGTGGTCAACCGGCTCCAAAACTCCTTGGGCGATCAGTTTGTCCAGTTGTTCGTCCACCTTAGCCTTGAGAGCAAAGGGAACCCGGCGTGGCTTTAGCTTGATGGGGGCGACTTGTGGATCAAGGCTAAAGGAGATGGGCGTACCTGTATATTGGCCCAAGGTGCCGTCAAAAACCTCGGCAAAGTCTTTGACCAGACCCTCAGTCTCTGCGTTAGAGATGCAGTTGATGCCGGTGACTTCCAGGCCGAGGGCATCAAACCAGTCTAGCCCTAGGAGGCTTGGCCGCTGACCTTCGACCACCACCAACCGGAGCAGGCCCGAAAAATCCTTGAAAGCGATCCGGAACCGGCCAACGCCTACCACGGGAATGTCGTTTCCCTGGTAGTCTCTCAGGTGTACGCGGTGAGAGTCGAGTTGCCTTTTGGACACTCTGGGTACCAGTCTTTTGATGGTGCTCCATGACACGATGGACAGGGCAGACCCGGTGTCGATCTCCATGTCACATGGAGCTCCTTCAATGAGCACCGTGACGTTCAGCTTGCGTCGCGTAGGCGAGTCGGTTTGGCCAATCGTGGTTCCAGACGGGCAGCGGCAGTTGGTGAGAGCGAAACAACTTTCCTTGGCAGACTGGAGTGAAGACTTGGACTTGCGAGTCGATGAAGGGGGGGTGTCAGACGGAGCCGATCGGCAGACCTTAGCGATGTGGCCCCTTCTGGAACACTTCCTACAGATGGCGTCTCTGAATCGACACTTGGCACGGGAATGGTTGCCTCCGCAGCCAGCACATTCCGGTTGGCCCTTGGACTTCTGTTGGAACTTCCTGCGCTCCCGCTTTGTCTGGTGCACGTCATCGTCTTCACTGGAGGATGCCTCATCACTGCTGGCCTCTTCATGATGCACCGGAACTGGCTCCCTAGCAAGACGCGGGCTGCTGGACTTGCGGATCTCCTGGGCGGAGCGTTCAGCAGCTTCTGAGGCCACAGCCTCCTCAATGGCTTTCTGTAGCGTGAGGTCTGGCTTGGCTAGGAGGCGCCGTTGCAGATGGATGTCCCGGACCCCGCAGACGATTCGATCCATCAGGGCATCGTCTAAGTCTCGGAACTCACAGTGCATTGCAGCCTGTCGCAGGGCGGTGGTGTAGTTGTTGATTGACTCCCCCTCTGCCTGGTTCCGGTGGTAGAACGCATGGCGGGCAGCAATCTTGGACGGCTTTGGTGCGTAGTGGTTGCGGAGCTTCTCTTGGATCGTGTCCCATGGTGTTGCCTGGACTGCTTCAGGCGCAACCAACGCTCGGGCCGTCTCAAACACCTCAGGCCCACAGAGGCTGAGGAATAGGCCCCGCTTCCGATCCTTTGATACTGCTGTCAGCTCGTTGGCTTGGAGGTAGCAGTCGAACCGAGCGAGGTAGGAGTCCCACGATTCAGAGGCTGGCGCAAACGGCGGTAGAGGCACAAGTGAAGCCATGATTCCGATGCCGGCGTGAAGGGCGATGGATGGAACACAGTGCTCTAGCCAGAACAGTCAGCTCTGAATTGGTTCTGCCCAGTGATTTCGCTCAGTGATTTCGCTCTGTGATTCAGCTCAGTGATTCAGCTCAGTTCAGAGGCTGGCCGCATCTGGCTGTGCTCTGATGTCCATCCATCCCATCCTCGTCGCCAGTGTTAAGTCGTGGGTTGACATAGCAGCCGGCACAGCGATTTCTTCAAGTAGCTCTTTATTATGGTAAGCTGGAATACAACTGACTGCGAACAGCTCAGCCGGCCTGTATTTATAGGCAGCCGGCTGTCAACATTGTAACCACAACAGCCCAGAGTTCCCGCCTAAAATAACTGCCGCGGACCTGAGTGAAAACTATCTACAGACCTGAGTGAAAACTATATACAGTATCCCCCTGTTGGCCCAGGGTGAAACTACACTACATAACACTTGTCTTGTGCATGGTCACACAGGTCTTCTCTCATAACCCTTCCCACAATCTGAACACAGTTGGAAAGTGTGGTTGGGCACATATGGGCTATTATTTTGTGACATGATTAGTGATGCCCATCATGACTCCCGCCCACCAATATGCTTGCTGTGAACCTCACCAGCAAATCTATATCCCCATCAGCTGTGGGCTGGCAGGTGCACGTTTGACACTGAGAAGTCGTTGCAGAAGAGTTGTGAAATGGGTACAGTCTTCTTGTGGTACATTTGATGTGTATCCTTGCAAAACGGCCCTGAGTAATCGGATCTATCCTGGTCTACTGCACCTTCCAAGAACCTGCAGGCGTCTGCCTTGCATTTTCCCTCTTACAGCATCCCACACCCACTTCCCAATGGAGAAACCTACCAAGGGCCTCTCAAACCTTCAGTGAAGGAGACGCAGATAACTGATAAAAATGGGACATGGCTCTCTGAGAACTAATCTTTCTCCTCGCAGATTTCAGTAACAAATCAGAATGGGAATAATTTGGGCAGTGGGTTGTGGGCAGTCAAACGGCCAGTAATTTTGTGACTGCTTTATTAACTGGGTCTATTTAGGTGGCCATGTGGCCTACTTTGCAGATGACAGTTCTCTAGTTGAAGGGCCCAAATCCAGCTGGAAGATAGAGATCCCTTGGAAGGAAGAGCAGCAGCCTTGAAGTTGCCCATTAGCAGTTCACTCCTCAAGAGAAGACTGAGCAGGCACCCAGGTTAGTCTTCACAGCTATGATGAGATTTAAATAATAGCAATGCTATTTAAATAATGCTCATTATTGCTAAATTTGCAGCTCTGCATATGAATTAACACGTGTCCATGCCAGCTATTCAAGGATATACCTAATTTCAGATAAGGTGGAAGTTGAACTTGTAGTGCAGTGCACATCTAATTGAGTACATAGTTAAGGCTTTATTTGTGGGTTTGGCTACAGGGGAATTGGTACTATTTAAAAGAGATTATGATTTCCCTGTGATCTGGTGTTAGCACTGGACATCTTTTGGTGCTTGTCCTTGTAGGGCTCACTGCTGATACCTTCCCTGGTCCCCATTTAAAAATTAAAATGCAATAAATTCCAGTGCTCCAGTCTGGATCATTTTAATTTCCAACAAAATACCCTCAACTTAGCACTGTTTTGAGACGTTTCAAGAAATTAAAATAGTGGCAAGTGGGTAATGGCACCAGCATCCACTTCTCCCAGGGACATTTCAAACCTGGAATTGCAATGTCTGGTCCTGTGAGTTTGTTTCTCAAAATACTTTTTACTCTTTTTTCAATTTTTACAGTTAAAGTAAAAATAATGAGAACAAAACTAAAAGCTGGAAGACGCTTTGAAGGGGCAGTGAGGGAGCAAAGTTGGGGGAAGGTTTTTCTTATTGAATCTTTGTTTATGCCTAATCCAGCAAATACTTATCTTCTGGGCATATTGGACTCCTCATCACTTCTTCCAGAAGCAACTTGGACCCACAACTGTGCGACACTGAAACATTGGATGGCCATGCCCTACAGTGGCACTGTACTGGACAGCTCTCATTCTCCGTACTGTATTAACTTTTACAATCCTTAAATTTCTCTTGATGCCCACAATATACTTAATTATTTTCCAACACTGTGGGCATTGATGGATCGGCTTGTGTTTACTGCACAGTAACTGTAACTTCCTGGAAAAAACGCATCAACCAGACAGTTAACAAATTAGCAAACTGTTTGCTCAGGCTAAATAAACAGTGGGAGCCTAGATAAAATTGGTGGTGCGGAATGACTTGTAAAGCAAAAGCTTACTGGATTTTGAAATAAGAGGACATCTCACAGCCTCTGCTTACTGACTCTATTGGCAAAGAAGACAAGAAGAATAAATTCTGCCACTACTTGTCTCCACTGCCATGGTGAAGTATTGCCTGTTTCTCTTACTATTTGCAAATGCTAAGTATGGGTGAGAAGAATCCATCAGTCTGCTTTTGGACTGATGGAACATATGCAGAAGAGATATATAATAATCCTTACAAACAGTGTGTGTGTGTGTGTGTGTGTGTGTGTGTGTGTGTGTGTGTCCCTCCCCACAAAAGGCACTGTAAATCTATAGTGAACTGTATAGAAAACTAAATTGCATAGAGCACTGTCCTTGGAACATCTCACCGCTCAGGCAAGTGGCAAATATTGTAAGCAGTCAGGAAACAGAACTATTGCAATGGAAAGGTTTGCCAGCGGTTTGTTTTTCAAAGCAAAGATTAATCTAGACTAAGACAACAGTGATAGAATAACAAACAGCAATCTTAACTTATAGGGCAAACTCTGGTCTCACCCCCTGCCCCCTGGATAAAGTGGAATCTTCTGTAACCAAACAGTCCAGGTCAAACAGTATGGGATTTTGGCTCTGAAAATTGCAGGATACTAATAATAGTAATTATTCTTTCAGATATCCCTTGTATTTCTTCTTGCTTTCACAACTATCACCGGTGAAGCATCACTTGCCCCTGCAGATCAAATATTTCAGTACATTGATGCACATCAACATGAATATGTACAGGTACAAGCGGATGTACTATTTTGGGACAAGCTGGAAAACTAGAGTGAAGGAGTGTTACCTGGAATGTGGATTCCATCCCCCTCATAATTTCCTCTTTTCACAGAGACTCAGAGAATGGGTGGCCATTGAAAGTGACTCCAGTAACCTTCTGAAGAGGCAAGATCTGATTGAAATGATACATTTAGCAGAAGAGAGGATAAAATATTTAGGAGGAACTGTTGAGTTGGCGGAACTGGGTGTACAAGAGGTAATTATTGTGTTTCAGCATGAAATCTATACTCGGCCCTCCAGTGGCCGTCCCTGACCACTGGTCCTGTTAGCTAGGGATGATGGGAGTTGTAGTCCCAAAACATCTGGAGGGCCAAGTTTGCCTATGCCTGCCTTAAGGCTACTGCTTAATGTCTCTAAAGAGTCTTCGTTAATCTGCCTAAAACATTCCAGTCTTTCATGCTATGTGTTTTGGTCACCCACTCTCCTCCTCCTCCTCTTCCTCCAATATTTGCTGAAGTATAGAAGATAGAAATAAAGTCTCTGTCCACTGGATCACAACTGAAAAATATGATCTAAAGGAAAGATAGAATTGCCAGTAACATAAGTTACATAGGAAGCAGCTATATATGTTATGTACTGAAGTTCTCACCCTGGGCCAGCAGGGGGATACTGTAGATAGTTATGCAAATATGGGATCGAAAGTGATGTTCAGTGATTGGATAGTTTTAGAAAGTTGTAACAATTATGTGTACTGGAGCTCTATATAAGCAGGCTCACTGAGCCCTTCAGCTCAGTTCTGGCCTCTGAATAAAGAAGGGCTGTTTGAAGAATCACTGTGTCGTCTGATATGTTCACCCACAACTTAACAATATATATAGATGGACTATAACGTGGTCAGGAGGTGAGGGGATTGGGTAAAAGAGGCAAGTGATAGCTTCTAGCACTTGTATAGGATTGCACTGTTAATGCATCGCTTCTGCTTTAGCTGCATAATGGAACTACACCTCGTTTGCCACCAGTCATTCTGGCAGAACTTAAAAAGGACCCTAAAAAACATACAGTTTGTTTTTATGGACATCTGGATGTGCAGCCAGCCAGATTAGAGGATGGATGGGCATCAGAGCCATACAATTTGACAGAAAAAGATGGTGAGCATTTATTATTATTCAATGGCAACAATACAGTGACAGAATGTCACTGAATACCAGTTCTTGGGTGGCAATAGTGGAAGAAGGTATTGCTTCAGGCTCTGCTTGTGAACTTCCTGCAGGCATCTGATTGGCCACAGTGGAAACAGGATGGTGAACCAAATGGACCTTTTATCTGGTACAACAGGACTCTTATGTCACCTCTGAAACTTGTAAAACACTGTACAATTGTATAACTGGATTCTATCAGCTTCTCTTTATTTCACTTTTATTTTCAAGGTAGTCTGTATGGACGTGGAACCTCGGACGACAAAGGGCAAATTCTGGCTGTACTGAATGCAGTAGAAGCACTTCAACAATATGTAAATGATTTTTTGTGGTTTTTTTAACAAGTCTTTCTTATTTCATGAAATCTGCCATCAAAACAAAACAAACACATTTTAAACCACTCTCTGACAGGAACTTCCTGTGAATGTAAAGTTTCTCCTTGAAGCCATGGAAGAAGTAGGATCCCCTGGACTATTGAAACTGGTTGAGGAGAGAAACAGTACGTTTTTTTCAGATGTCGATTACATTGTGATCACTGATTCCTCATGGATTAGCAACAAACCAAGTATTACATATGGAACAAGGGGAAACAGCTACTTCTTAATTGAGGTATTTGGGGCTCTTTAATATTGTTACAATTAGTAGAATCAGTGTGGTGTAATGGTTGGACTATGCCCTAGGAGACTAGGGTTAAACGCAGCCATGAAGCCCAGCTTAACTTACCTCACAGGGTTGTTAGAATAAAATAAAGGTGAGGAGAACCATGGACCACCTTGAGCTACTTGGAGGAAAGTTGGGATATAATAATAATGCTAATTTTACAGACACATCTTATCATTCATTTTATTATCATTTGACTGCAAAGTTTCTAACGAATAAGCTGCTAAGTGAGGATTACAATTTTTAATTGATGCATGTCTGAGAGGGATGAGCCCACAAACGTGAAGCTTGTGCCTGTTCATTTTCCTGATGCAAAATCTTGGTATGGCACGGCATACTAATACACCCTCTGATTCCTTTATCTACTTTTTTCTAGGTTGAATGTGCTAAAAAAGACTTGCATTCAGGGACCTTCGGAGGTATAGTTCCTGAAGCAACCAGTGACTTAATATATCTGTTGAGTAAGTAGAGTTTCTACTAGTGAACAGCTAGCTCACACATTCTAGGCTGCTTCAAAGCTTGACTACTGAGATTTCAGCATTGGTAACCTCAAGACTGGATTAACGCAATGCGCTCTGTGTGGGGCTTCCCTTGGGCACCTTGACAGCTGCAGCTAGTGCAAAATACAGGGCTTCATTGTTGACTGAGGAGCCCTCTCAGTGCCATATAACACCTCTGCTGAAGAAGCTGCAATATGTGCAGTTCAGGGTCTTGCTTTTAGCCTTAAAGCCCTAAACAACTTGGGACCAGGATATACGCCTTGCGTATATCCCTGCTGGGCAACTGTGCTCCTCAGATGGGGCACTGCTGAGAGTACCATAATCCCCAGAGGTGTGTTTAGCCTATGCTAGAAACTGAACTTTTAGTGCTGGAACTCTAGCTCTCTAGAATAAATTACCAGCCAAAACCAGACAGGTGCCTAGTGTGATGATATTTGAAGGCATTTGTGGCGATCACACAGGGTCCCCGGACGTTTGACGGTCTATTGATCCCTGTGCCACCACTGTGATTGCCTCTTCGCTGCCACCAACCTGTTTCTCACGGGTACATACGGAGTCCAGACAGTTGTTAACATTAACAAATAATCAAGTTTATTTTTATAAGCATGAACACATTTAAGGTTTCAGTTAATTTTTCTTGGCAGTTTCTTAATCTTAGTTTCTATATTGTATTATACTTTCCTAACAACTTCAAACTGATTATCCCAACTATCTATCTGACTCCACCTAACAGTTCCTCTCACAACACAACTCGACCAACCCACAGACTTATATCCTTCCTCTTCCTTCTCCAACTCCCAACTCTCAACTAACTTCCACACAACTCCAACTCTCACTCTAACTCCTCCTATCAGTTTCCACTGGCCAATCACATCACACTGATTTAACCCTTTCCTTCTGACCCACCTAATTATCAGCCAAGACCAGACAGGTGCCTAGTGTGATGAAGTTTGAAGGCATTTTTCTTTATGAAGGGTTTCCTTGAGGTGCAACCCAGTCATATATGGAAGATCAACTTTATATTTAATGAAATTGTTTCATTGCTATCATCATCATCATCACCACCATTTTACCCCACCTCAGCACTCTGGGCAGCTTCTAAGACATATAAAAACATAATTAAACGTTACACATTAAATAGCTTCCTGATAAGGGGCTGTCTGCCTTTAGATGTCTTCAAAAAGTTACATAGTTACTCATCTCCTTGACATCTGATGGGAGGGCTAAACGAAAGCTAAACGATGAGTACTGGTCTGGACAACATGCTAAACCAAGCATGTCAAAAAGTTATTTAGTTACTCACCTCCTTGACATCTGATGGGAGGGCATTCCACAGTCTAGAGAAAGCTAAATAATGAATACTGGTCTGGACAACATGCTAAGCCAAGCCATAGCTTAGTTTAGCACACGACAGCAGCCAAATGATCAGGGCAGAGCAATGTGGTCACAGTCTCCTGTCTGGAGTTTTCATGCTTGCAAGTCCATGGTTTTGCTTAGCTTGATGTGCAAATCAGGTAGGACTATGCCATCTGAAATATACTCAGAGTTGAGTGTGGATTTCATGCTCTTTATTCAGCTCATAGTAGTGAGGAAAACCAGTTCCCCCGAAATGTCTGCTTTATATACATTATTTATACAATGGGCCCCATGTGATTGGCTAATTCTGGGATTCTCCTGTAGGCCAATCAGGTTGTGGATTCACTTCCACCTGGAGTTGGATTGGGTAGCTCCTGCGGACCAATCAGACTGCTGCATTCTGGATCCTATTGTTCTGGGACCAATCAGACTGCTGCATTCTGAATCCTATTGTTCTGGGACCAATCAGACTGCTGCATTTTGGATCCTATTCAACTCAGTACATAACACCATCCATGAGGCAGACTATCTCATATGGAAGAATCCAAGGGGCGCCTCCTTCGGCACCCCCCCCCCAAGCAAGAAGTGGCTACAGCGGCTTCTGGCTTCCAGTGAGATCTCACAAAAGCCCTGTGAGATCTCACAGTAGCCTCCATGTGATTTCACTGTGCTCTCACAAGATCTTGCTGGAAACTTCAGCTGGTAACCCTAGTAAGCAAGACTTTGGAGAGGGCAGCAAGCTTCTCCTGAAATAAGACTATTACATCTATATTACAGGTAGGTAGCCATGTTGGTCTGCCGTAGTCAAAACAAACAAACAAAAAAATTCCTTCCAGTAGCACGTTAGAGACCAACTAAGTTTGCTATTGGTATGAGCCTATCATACCAATAGCAAACTTAGTTGATCTCTAACGTGCTACTGGAAGGAATTTTTATTTTATTTTATTACGTCTATAGACATTCTAATGAACATTCATAGGTTGGGGTCAGAGCTTGCCACATGTATGCTATTATTCCCACTACCTCCCCCCCATTTATCCTATTCTTATTTAGCCATCATCTTACTCTGGTGATCTGGTTTTATGGGTTTATCTATATATTAATGGTCCTTACCAGTTGTGCATGTTCTATGATGCCGAAGAAGTATAGCTCTTCATAGAGATTCTTAGAGAACAGCAAAGCTTAGCATTTTCTGTAAGTTTATCATGTAACATGTTTTGTCTAAAAATAAAAGGGAAATGGGGCAGCTACAATTTATTGATTTTTTAAATAGAAATTAAGAAAAATATTCAATAAACTTTAAAAAAATTAAAGGACTATTTTGAGGTTTGCCTTCTGTATTCCCTAGTTTTAAAGTAAGCAATTTTAATTGATATTTGGTATTACATTCTGTCCATTAAAAAAACAAAAGTAACTGCAAGTTCTGTTATTTCTGTAGTTCCTCTTCAGAACTTGTACATTTGTTTTCAGGTACCCTTGTCGATTCTTCTGGTCATATACTGATACCTGGGATTTATGATGCAGTTGCTCCTCTTACGGAAAAAGAAAAGAAACTCTATGAAAAAATTGAATGGGATTTCAAGAAGCTGAAGGACACATTTGGCATAAGAAACTTCACATATAGCACTAAAGTATATGCCATATTGATTTTGTATTGAATTCTAAGCTGGGCTTTTGATAGCTGGTTTCACAATTTTCAGTTAGGATGGGGCAAATTGTGGGAATTCCTTTATAGTTGATGTAGAAGCATGGTCAAATCTGGGTCTGCTCTACCATTAGGCAGTCTGGGATGGCTACTACAGGCAGCTGATTTTGGGTGTAATGAAAGGGCATTTCCCTTTTTGCAGAAATATGCTTGTAAAATATGTATACAAGTCACTAGCACCATTTTCTTAGCCTGTATTAATGAATTCCACCTTGTGTGGAATTGTCAGTCCCAAATGTACTGTCTGATTGGGGGTTCTAGAGTAACCCCAAGTCTAGTATCATGAGATAGAAAAATGTCAGTCAACCACTCTCTCCATGATTAGTCTGAATTAGTTCTGCCGTCAGGAATATTAGGATTTTTGGTCCAAAGTCTAGCACCCCACTCAGTAGAATGAGTGAGGGTGGGGGGATGACAAACATACCAGGTAGCTTACCACATTTTGAAAAAAGTGACACAACACACATTACCATTTATAGGAAGGAGGGGTGCCATAAGACCACGTATTCCAGGCTCAAAAAATGATTCAGTTTTCAGAATCTAGTTTTCATGTTTTATTAGTTTGCAGGTCACTTTGGATCACATTTCATGAAAAAGCAACTAAAAATGCAAATGATAATTATGATATAAATAACCCATTTGTCTGTGTAAAATAATAGGAATGGTGAGCAAACTGCAACTTATTGTTTAAGACTTTATATATTGCTTTAAAAGTTGCTTTTTTTGTTTAGGAAGAATTATTAATGCGGAAGTCGCGCTATCCATCTTTGTCCATCCATGGAATTGAAGGAGCTTTCTCTGCACCTGGAACTAAGACTGTAATCCCTGCAAGAGTAATTGGGAAATTTTCAATACGCCTGGTTCCCCATATGGATCGCTCTGTAGTAAAAAAACAGGTAGAGCTCTGGGTTGTGTGTCTTTAATATCTCTCTATTCTCTTGTGGTGAACAGTGCTAATCATTTGCTTTCCTCAGTTGATGTGATGTTTCTAGCAACCTAGCCTAAAATAGGCCTACTCAGAAGTAGGTGTTCAATAGGGCTTATTCCCAGGTAGGTGTATACAAGATTGTTGCCATGCAATGGAATACAATGCATGTTCATTCATAAATAATCCCTACTGAGTTCTATAGGACTTCTTATCAAACAGGTGTGTAAAGGATTGTAGCCTAAGGCTGCAACTCGAGTATGCTTACTTCACATGAATTAAACTGAGGCTTACTTCTGGATAACATGCAAGGCATTGCTAGTGAATTAACTCAAAATGAAGTTGATAATATATTTAAGGTACTAGCTTGAATCACAGAGAATGGGAATTTGAATAATGACCAGCACATTGAAGTACCAAAAGATAATCACCAGCACATTGATCAGCCTTATTCAAAGCTCAAAGTGTGCTAGACCATGAATACTGCAGGTCATTATCCCACAATGCATCTTCATAAGCAGATAATTAATATATTATTGTGTTATTATGACAGATTTAATTTTCACCAGGAGCAAACTAGAATAAACTTTCACTATTATTCTCTTGAGGTAATGGATCATTTGAACAAGAAATTTGCTGAACGGAACAGCCCTAATCATATGGAAATAACCAATGTGCAAGCATCAAAGCCGTGGCTTTCTGATACAGATGAACCTCTGTATTTGGCTGGAAGAAAGGCAATAGAGAAAGGTCTGGTCACTTTACTGCAACAAATTACAAAACTTTGGGGCTACTGTGATTATTATGAAGCACCCAGCATACTAAAAAGCAGTGTAGAAAACTTAATAGAAATGGCTGCATCATTACAAAAAATCCAAAGTAATCTACACATGCATCTAATATTAAAGCTACAATGTTATATGAATGTGTACGTAATTCACACAGTATTTTGAAGGAGCACTTCGGCCTTGGAAGAGGCTCGTTTTGTCAGTTTTGTGAAAACATATTTTAAAGAACAGTCATGGGACACGTTAAGACAGAACTGTTTCGCTGCAGGTTTAAAACAGTTGTTTTTGTGGATTTTGTCAGTTACAGACAGGATCACAACTTTAAGTTTAGAAGTAGTTAACTTTTAACTCAAGATTGCAACAAAGACAAATGTGTCTGTTCTGGGACTTAGTTGGATAAAATGTTAAGTAACCAGTCTATGAAAATTAAGTTTTCTTTTATTCCTATTTCTTAGTATTCCACACTGAGGCTGACTTGACCCGAATAGGTGGAACAATTCCAATTGTTTCACATTTCCAAGACGTAACTGGAAAGAGTATAATGCTTCTAGGAATAGGAGGACCAGATGATGCCCCTCATGGTCAAAATGAAAAGATCAACAGGTAATCTGTAGGCCTTTAAAACACAGTAGTACCTCGGGTTAAATACGCTTCAGGTTACAGACTTCGCTAACCCAGAAATAGTACCTCGGGTTAAGAACTTTGCTTCAGGATGAGAACAGAAATCGTGCGGCGGTGGCGCAGCAGCAGCGGGAGGCCCCATTAGCTAAAGTGGTGCTTCAGGTTAAGAACAGTTTCAGGTTAAGAACGTACCTCCGGAACGAATTAAGTACGTAACCAGAGGTACCACTGCAATGAAGTCTTTTACTAGTGGGGAAAATGCTACGGTAAGTGAATTTTAAGCATAATCTCTGGAGAGAAGACAACTTTGGGACTTCTGTTTTGTGTGCAACATAAACCACCTAGAAGCTTCTTGAAGATGGAAAAACTAAACACACAGCATTTGAAATGCTGATGTAAATGAAGTAGAAAAAGCGTGAATAATAAAACCAGTAGTATTGGCCATAATTATGATGCTTACCCATTAACGTAGTCATACATTTTTGCCAAATTGTAATTTAGACTCTCATATTCCATCTGCGCTATATCTGCTTTTGCATGCCCACTATTAATCTTGTTTTCTTTTTAAATGTAGGTACAACTTCATTGAGGGAACCAAACTATATGCAGCCTTCCTTCAAGAACTTGCTTCTACCTAGAGAAGATGGGATGATGATAAAAACCCTCTAAAGCACAGCTGCATACTTTCTTTTTTGAAATGTTCTTAAAGGAACACATATGCACAAATATATTTAGTAATGTAAACGTGATAAAATCAATAAATACTTGTGTGGAAAAAAGAGAAGATCCCCCCTGCAATAAAATGATATTTTATTTTCTTTTTACATTTGGAGGTCCCATTCCTCCTTTCTTTATGTGCCTGTACAGAACTTCATTGCTTCCTTAAGAACTCTGGACTCTCAGAAAGGAAAAAGAATAAATATTGCCACCTGGGTTTTCTAAATTTAAGATGACCCTCTTACTATGTTTTTGTAAAAGATGTGCTACCCACAAATGACACATCACATTCCTAAATGTTTTTAAGTCTGTTTAAAGGTATGTTTGCACCCTGTGCGACTGAACTACTGTATAACTATTCATGTGCACTATACACCCTCTACTGGCTGCACACTTCTTTGCAGCATCTTTTTCCTAAATGTGGTAACTGCATACATGTGGATCTCAAGTGCTTACCCATGTAGGCACAGACAGGATTAAGACCCGCTTAGCTTCAGCAAAATGATGGCTTCATGTACCTTCAGACCACATCCTGAGTCCATACTCTTTCTATGAGGGTGGCAGATGCAATTTTGAAACCTTGGGCACATTGTCAGGTTCCCAGGCAACAGACAATTTCTTATTAGTGGCATATGGAGGCAGTGGCTACCATTGCAAATTTGCAGGCTTACGAGTATTTTTTATTTAGAAGAGGAGGAGTTTGGATTTGAAATCCCGCCTTTCACTCCCTTTAAGGAGTCTCAAAGCGGCTAACATTCTCCTTTCCCTTCCCCCCCCCACAACAAACACTCTGTGAGGTGAGTGGGGCTGAGAGACTTCAAAGAAGTGTGACTGGCCCAAGGTCATCCAGCAGCTGCATGTGGAGGAGCGGAGACGCAAACTTGGTTCCCATGATTACGAGACTACCGCTCTTAACCACTACACCACACTGGTGTATTCTTCAACTGAAGTTTTTTTATTGTGCTTTACAGTCAAAAAAAGACAGTAAGTTTCATAATTCACAGTGTAGTCCTACTAAAATGAGTGTTAAAGTTTGAAAAATAGCAAGGTGGCAATCAAACAAGTCACAACAACAACATATAGAGTCTAACAAAATTCACTCTAATTTCTAAAAGTCACCATGTGAACCCTTCTGGATATGAAGCAAGTAATAAATATAACCTAAGTATGTTTTTAAGCTTACATGCCTGCTTGGGGTTTATAATAAATCAATTACTACTATATATTAGTATCTTTTGGGAGGGGGATTTTCAATCAATTTCCCAGAACTGGAAGTTTTTCCCCACCTGGCGATTGTAAGTCCCTCATCCATTTTTTATTTTTATTTTTTTTGCTAGTTAAGTCAATCTCTACCTCTTCACCAGTTAAACAAAGAACACTACATTTTGTGTGTATTTCAAACTTTTGAGTTGCTTCATGCCTAAACAATTCTGGTTTGTTAACATTTGACGTGTTTACACACGGAACATACACAAACATGGCATCTGGATATTGCCCCTTCGTTAATTTTGTTTAACTAGCAATGAGGGCTTGAGACCACTGCCTACAGGGTTCGTTTCAGGATATTATTGCGCGTGTGCAGTGAAACACCGGGACCTCAGCCGAACCCCAGAGCCTGTTTTCGGTGTCGAGGTTCTCGCGGGGAAGTCATGGTGGACAGGAGTGCCTCGGGGCATGTGCAGAGTGCATGCTTCGCCTCAAGGATACCAGCCACAACCCAGCCCCTTCACACTTTTGGCTCCACGGAACGCACAATAGAGGAAAGCGAGTCCCCGCTTGGGAGCCTCTGAACGCTCCTGAAGGGGCGGGAAGCGACCTCCACGCGGCGCGCGGGCCACTGAGGTACAGTTAAGGCCCTCGCTTCTTCAAAGGGAGTCACGCGCCGCCCGCGGAGCAACTGCCGCCGTTCCATTCCATACATTTCCTGTCTTCCCTCCCCTCCGTACGACGTTACGCATCACGTTCCGACAGTGACGCACTTCGGCGAATCTACGGCACGCCACTTGTGACCAAGATCATCACAAGCGGAGGAGGACGGCGTCCCCATCCGGTGAGTAAAAACCAACGGTCAGTGGTCCCCTCGCTTCTGAGGGAGGCTTCTGCTTAAGGCTGTTGTAGGCGTTTATCCTTGGGGGCGCCCGGTCGTTCCTGGCTTTCTCCAGGCCTTTTCGCTTTCCCTAGGGCTTTTTGGGCCTCTGTGCCGCCGTCGTTTTTTCTCCCCCTTCCTCCTCTCGATAAGTGGGAGGGAGGGCAGGAAGCTCGTTTTGGGCCAATCAGTAACCGTCGGCGGGTCTGATGCTTGAGGAGGGAATTCCTGAGTGGTTGGGCATGGAGGGCGGGAAGACGGTTTCATATAGCGATTGGCTAACGCCTCAAGGCTTCTCGTCCACTTTTTTTTTAAAGAAAGGAAGGAGGAGGAAAAAAGGTTGTCCAGAGTGCGCATGCGGAAGTTATTCGTGGTCTGTGACTTCTTCGTGTTAGCACTACGCATGTTCGTCGCGCGGCACCTTTTCAGGAGCGAGGGGGACTGGACGTTGCGCACGCGCCTTTTCGACCGTGGCTTTGAAACCGTTCTTTTCAGGGGGCTGTGATTGCGCTTGCGCGAGGGCTTGTGTGTTTGCGGGTGAGCGATAAGGGACGCCTGAGCTCATCTTCCTGGGCTGAAGGAGGAGCGCACGCGCACTGCTGTCGCTCGCCAAGTATTCCAGGCTCTGAGCGGGTGGTGGTTCCTTGTGGCATTCACTCTGCAGCAGAGGAAACCGTGTTGACCCATTAGAGAGAGAAAAAATCCAAAATCTGGGCCAAAAATATTATTTTAAGGGCCGTACAAAATGACACAAGCTTCCGAGTTCATCAGAACTCTTCATCAGGCTGGCAGTTTTGATGTAAAAAAGAAAAGAAAACTGGGGAGGAGGAGAGGAGGCTGGAGACCTGAAAATGTTGGAAGATTCAGGGCAGATAAAAGATAAAAATGATTCACATTTCCTGGCATTGTGGAGTTGGAAGGGACCCAAAGGGGATACTTAAACTAGAAATTGCTACCACAACAGGTAGCAATGTCCAACCACTTGGAACAGCTTTAAACAAGTTACAGTGGTACCTTGGTTCTTGAACGGCTTGGTTGTTGAACAAATGAGCTCCTGAACGTCGCAAAGTGTAATGGTTTGAGAATGTTTTTTGGAAGCTGGGCGTCCGACGCGGCTTCCACTTGAGTGCACGAAGCTCCTGCAGCCAATCAGAAGCCGCGCCTTGGTTTTCAAATGGTTTCGGGAGTCGAATGAACTCCCAGAACAGATTAAGTTTGAGAACCAAGGTACACAAATTCACGGAGGGGATTGTTGCCAAGAACTGCTAGCCATTGCTCATAGATGGTTGGCTACATTGAGAATGGGCTGCTGGACCTGATGGGCCTTTGTTCTGATCCAGAGGGGCTCTTAGGTACTTGCAGGGGAAAGGTGGCATGATTTAAAAACCACAAGGTTGGCATTTAGTCACACTCAAGATTGGGAATGTAGGAAGAGAGCACAAACTTGTATTGGGCTCCTCTTGGAGCTATGCAGATATTAACTTGTACCCGAGGGCTGCTGGGATAAATAATGGCTGTTTATGAAGGCATTCAGTAACCCAGACTTCACATGGCATCACAGCTTCAATCTAGCCCATGAAAACATAAGCTGCAATAAACGGGTTATTTTTAAAGATTGAACAAGTGTCTTTGTTGTTTCTGGTGCTACATGCTAACTAAACCAGGGATGGGGAACCATTTTCAATTTGAGGTCCACATTCCTTTATAGACAGACTTCTGAGAACCACATACCAGTGGTAGGTGGGGTCAGAGGCAAAAGTAAGCGAAGCAACAAATGTAACATTTTCCTTTGTACAGTAGGCTAGCTTGTATGCACCCACTTGCCCACACTATTCCATCAAGGTAAGGAAGAACACTAATTTATCAGAGTTCAAGAACATAATACAGCCAGATAAAATCACCTGGGGTGTGAAGCAGGAGTGTGTTCTGGGGAGAGTTCCAAGGGCCAAATCAAGAGCCTTTGAGGGCCAAATTTCTGCCTGGGCCTGAGATTCCTTGCCTCTGTGTAACTCCTTGGGATTGTATGCCACTCTGAAGAGACAGCATGCGGAGCACATGCAAGAAATAAATGCAAGAATCAGATCCTGCTTTTATAAATTTTGGAAAATCTGCCTCCACTCAACGCTGTTATTTCTGCTCATGGTGAACACATGCTTCAGCAAGGGAAGCCACCAGGTTGTTAAGTGTCTATGGAGAAATGCTTGCTTCCAAAGAACCACACATGTTCACACTGGAGGCCAAAGTTGCACTATTCTAGAAGTGAAGATGCCTTTTTTGGGTGATCTCTGGAAATCATGGTTACTGTAATGACTCAAGTTGGAAGTAATTTCACAAGAGTTGGGTTGGCAGGTACAAGACTTGGCATTGTGCAAGACTTGGCATTTTGACAGTGAACTTTCTTTTCAACTAACTATGTAGTTTGCTCTCAACTAGGTATTAAAACCAGGATTAGATCCTAGTTTTAATCTGTGGTTTGGGAACAAACTATAGTTAGCAGAAACTGTTTACAGCTGTTTGGTTGTCATGGTCAGTCACAATTATATCTCATTAGGGCAGGGGAACCACAAGAACCCTCAAGATGCTCTTGATCACACAAACTATGGTTTAGCAACCATATATGTGTGACCTTTGAACCAGGCCTTTGTATTGGTTATATATACACTGCTAAATTTGACCTGTTCCTGTATGGACAGATGTGTTTCCAGAACAAATGTTTCCAAAACTCATGAATTCTTTAAATTTGAAATTTGTATGTGATAAGATTAGTTTGAAAAATACTTCTCAGTATTCAGGGGGTTAAATGCTTGCCAGTGTGTAGAACTAGCTTCTTGTTTGGGGATTCTGTCTTAAGGACTTTCACATCACCCCTGGCCCCCGATATTGAAAGAATGTGTGATGGGGCCATGTGGAGTTGTCCCGCTACTGATAACGTGCACCACACACACCATTGCCGTGTGGTGGAAATGCTGCCATGCTGTCCCAAGTGTTCAGCTGGCATAGAAAACAGCTCTGAATGTATAATGTTGCATACTCATAGAGCTCTTCCAGGACAAAGTGCCTCTTTTCAGAAATTTCCCCCAGACATCAATTCCACCTTTGAAATCCCAGTAATATCTGGGAGAATCCAGACATATGGCAGTCCTAGTAAATACAGTACAGTATATAGGTACCCACAGATGTTTCCCACACCAGCTGAATGTGGGAAGTGTTTCTGCACAGTCTTCAGGATCTTATAGGCCTCTTGGGTTCCCTCCCTCCCTCCCACCAAACTAAACCATGGTTTAAAGGCTTAGCACTATGAAATCAAGGTTTGCTCTTGGCTCATCGCTCATGCTTTGTTTGGCGGAAATTATCCTTGATCTTGGGTGTGGAAGTAGCACTAAGTCAGGCTGTGGTGTGGCGGAAGAGTGAAGTGCCCACAATTTCAGTAGCTTACAGTGCACATTCACTACAGTCCACATTCACAGTAGCTTACAGCTGCACATTCACATTTAGACCATAGTTTGTTATTAACTGAGGTTCAAAGTGACATGAGAACGAGGCCTTTATTGTTAATTTAAGAATAAGCTGCTGCAAAACAACAGTGTCATTAACACCATCAAGACTAAAAGCAACCAGCAGTTCATCTGATATACCAGGAAGTATCCTTAACGTTTATATTTTTGTTTTGTTCTTAATAGGGATAACCTTGCATTGACACCCCCTTCTGTTCTTTCCATATTTTTAACTTTAAATTATTTACAAGTTGGAGGCTTGTAGATGATAAGCTAATGAAGACTTTTTCTTAAGCATGTTGTGCAGGATTGTTCTGAATGTATATCCCAGCTACCCTTATCTTACAATTTGAGGTGCCTATTTTGCAACTTCTTCTAAAGAGCAAAAGGGCAATTTGACCATCCAGTTTTAATGAAAAGCACTGTTTTAACCAAGGGAAAGTAGATAACAGCTTTATGATAGTATTCTGAAAATACAGCACATACAGAGAGAACTGTCGTTTCCCTTATATTAATTACCTGATCCATTTCAGTCTGGTTAGTGATCCTGTTTTGGAATTGCTTTGGTTTCTCTGATGAATAGTCTGCAATGGAAGAGGGAAAGGGAATTGTGTTCCCATTGTCTTTATTGGAAATTTCAGTCACTTTTGATACCATTAGCCTTGTGGAGAAGTACCGTTGTACAGTGGCTCTGGTCCTTAATGGAACACAGATCTAAAATATGATACTGGAGTACTAGTACTCAGCCTCTTGACCTTTGACCTGTAGAGTGCATCAAGGGTCTCTATTCAAAGTGCTATAGAATTTGGAATAACCTTTCTTCACATGAACTTGCCTCCTCATTGAGATAATTAGCAATGGTTTTCTTCTCTGTCCCACCACTATAGACAATTGGTTAGAGGAAACATGGAACAGAGTATTTTTTGTAGCAGTTTCTAGGTTTTGGAACTCTCTCCATTGAGTTACCCATCTGGCCCACACGTTGCAATGGGTCTCTGTGAAAACAGTTTGGTTTTCTCGATGCTACGGTTTATTTTTCAACTTGCTTTATGTGATTATATTTTCTGTGTTTGTTGCTTTGACGTTTTGCTGTTCAGTTTCTTTGTTTCATATGTTGTACTGTATTTGCTTACTTTATGGCCATTGTTTTTATATTATGTTGCAGCCTGCTTGGAAGGCCTTTGGAGGAAAATTAGCCTTTTTTAAAAAATAAATAAATACCAGAGCTACCATTCCCCATTGTTGGCTGACACTTATGGGGAAAGGGGTCCTGGG